AAAAAAAAACTATAAACTACGAGTATATCTGTATCTTCATAAAATTATAGGTACTTAGTCCCTAGTCATTTAGTTACCTGATAAATTATTTCATGTAGTTTTTGATGGAACTAATAAATACCCATAACTTTTAATATGTATGAGTTTTTCTCTATCATCATTATTATTTTCATTTTCAGTTGCACATAGAGCAGTATAACATTTATCACAGGTTTTGGCTGGTTTGATTTTCTTCATTTTCCTCGCGACATATCCAGCAAGCACAGTTAGTGCATGATTATTTATGGGCAGTGTAGTGTAATTATGATCACTTTCTAAACTAAATCCATTATATTTATTATCAAGTATATTGTCTATTTTATTTTCTATTTCTTTCCTCCTTTCATTATTTTTTTCTGTTAGAATGTCTGGCGTACTAATGATGGCTTCCAAGAGTTTCTCCTAAAATATTGCTACCTTTTGGAGGGCGTACTAAGGAATAGGTTGAAAGAAGTCTGTACACTTGAATTGAAAATTAATATAATATTATATATTTTTACAAAAGTTTAAAATTGAATTAACATAATAAATAATAATAGTTATTTACTATTTATAGTAACTATAATTTATAATATAATATTATTAATAATTTTTATTTTAAATTATAATATTTAAAGTATTAATATCAATATCTTGAAAATAACTTAAAATTAGGTATTGCATGTACAAATAATTTATCATAGTTTAAACAAAATTATTAGTACCTACCATATAATAATATATTATTGTGGAATTATTTATTATTTATCTACTTTAAACTTAAAAATGTTCATACATTTTGTTTAGTCTATTGTAGTCTTATACCTTTGGTGCTCGAAATAATGAAAAAAATTTTCATTCGCTAGCATATCCCGTCTTACAGCCTGGCACAAAACATTTGTTTGGCATTTTAAATTAATTTACCTGTTCAACTTTGTTTAGCTTTTGAAAAACTAGGAAAGTCTATTGTGTCTGTCAGTAGTAAAAAACTAATGATGTTTAAATGGGCAGTCAGAGTTCTTGCTATAATTCTAATAAACTTGGAACAATATTAGGAAGGGGTTTCTATTTTAAATACTGTTTGTTATGACTGGAAGTCTATCTCTGTCCTCAGTGTATTTACTTTATAACATTTTTTTTTATTTCAACTTGCTAGTGTGATATAATCATATTTCATATGAATTATGAAATTCAAACAATAATACTATATTATAAAATCCATTTACAATGCACCAAAATAGCAAATAATTAATGTTTATTATGACTGGAAATCTGGAAATCTACCTCTATATATTTATTTTATTGAATTCATGCCTATATATATTATTTTTATTTATTTCAACTTGCTAGTATGATATAATCATATTTCATATGAATTATGAAATTTGAACAATAATACTATATTATTATCTGTTGAAATAGGTTTTTTTTTATGATTTTGCGGCGTCGCGGCAGCAATGCGAAAGCAATTCCCGCGGCGCCGTCGGTTCAAAACTGGGAAGGAAAAAAAAAAAAGGTTTTTTTTATGATTACCTATTAAGTGACAATGTAAAACTGTAAAAGTATTTTTTTAATGATGGTCTCCCTCAATTTATAATAATAATATAAACAGACTGGAACAAAAAATGAATAGTTGCCTACATAAAAAAAATATATTTCCTACGAATTAAAGAGTCTACTTATGAGGACCTAACATTATAATTCATCGAAATATATTATACCTGTTGGTTGTTGGGTACATTAAGTTACCTAATTTAAAAGAAAAACTGAAATGTTTAATGAACTAAACTATGAAATACGTTTAAAATGTCTAATTTGTATTACTTTTAGACGCTCTTATGTTAAACTCATATCCCATTCTAACACAAAAAGTCAAAAACATAATACCAATATACCATTGATTATAAATACAAATCAATGATAATACGCTTATTATTATTTATTATAGGTTATGTTTTGTGAGTCACTGATTTTTGTATAGGTACCTAAATGTCACAATATTTCACAATATACTATTTTTATACTTATCAGATGTGACTATTCATAGTTTTGAAATTTACATTACCAATGAAAACCGTGAAAATAAAAATAAAAATTAAAATAATCAGTAAACATGATGATTGATGATAAACTCAATGGCATTCGTAATAACTAGAATTATAGCCCATAAATAAATTTAAAAAATTTAATATTAAATAGTTAAAATAAAATTACATTGTTATTACTTATTAGTAATTTATGAGTATTGTTCGTGTTCATATGAACGCAATAGGTAACACAGTTCAGTGCTATATATTATATAATACGAAGTAAATAACTTTAAATCGGAGTTTCAGCGAAGAACTATACAAAACGCGTCAAAATGAATTTTGTTTTATTTAATTTATTTACAGTGTTGTTGTTTCGATCGACTTCAATATCGTGTATTAGATCAAATAATGTTAATATTCACTCTTTGTTACCATTCGTAAGTGGTGATTATTTTTTAATAATCTGTCATCAAGTTTCTTCAAATGTTCATAGTCCATAATATTTGTTATAAAAAATAATATATTTGGGCGCACATAATTTGTATACGAATTGCCTCCCGACTATATACGAGTTGCCTCCTGACGTACCCTAAATTTTATCATAAACGAAAAGGGTCTAGTATTAGTTGCCTCCCATTAGTCAGGTAATAAATATATAAGTGGTTCCAAACATTTTCAAACATCATGTATGGGCAGAAAAAAGTTCCAGCATTCATCGCACAACCAATGCATGCGAATCCTTTCATAGCAAATTTAATAGTTATTTTGAGTCTCCGCATCCTAATATAATCAAATTTATTGACATTTTAAAACTAATTCAGACTGAGACTGTAATTTTAATACAAAGTTCTCATAAGCCTAAACTACATGGACGATTACAAATTAGAAACAAAATAATTTTCATTGATACCCAAATAAAAAAGCTAAATGAAAAAAAAATATCAAATTTTGAGTACTTACAAATATTGGCTAAAAAATACAAGCCTAAACAATGTTATAAATAATTTTTTACCATTATATGCATATTATATTATATTATTATTACCATACATTTATTTTATTGACTAATAATAGGTACTACTTACTATTTTGTTTAACTTATTGATTTATTATTTGACTGATGTTTTTTAACTGCACTATATATTTTTAATAAGTAGTACCTATGATATGTTTTAATTTTATTGATTATTTTTATATTATTATTATTTTTAACCAAGTCTGATATTTTTAATAACGAATAAACATTACCAAAAACTATTATAACATTATTCTATATATATTATACTTAAGACTGATGTTTTTTAACTGCACTATATATTTTTAATAAGTAGTAAAATATGTTTTATTTGTATTGATTATTTTTATATTATTATTGTTTTAACCAAGTCTGATATTTTTAATAATGAATAAAGTATAAACATTATCTATTTATGTGGAACTGTTTGGTGAAGTTTATGAACCACTACTTAATTCTATATGGGAGGCAATTAGTGTGAAACTTTTTGGGAGGCAACTCGTATATAATTATGAACAATCTGGTCATCGGAGGCAACTAGTGTAAAGTAACCTTTTTATTTACGATAAGGACGAGAGGCAATTCGTATATTTTGGGAGGCAACTAGTATGCGCCGATATATTTATCCTGTACATTTTTGCTATTATAGCTGACTATCTAAAGGTCTTTTATGTTGTAAATAACACTTCTGATTGGCTATATCTACAAATATGCATAGATAATTTTCATGATTGGTCCACAGATAATTACTGAGTAATTAATATTAAATATGTAATTATGTATCATTTTTTCAAATATGTTCACATGTAAGCTTTCATTATTTTATTAGTTCCATTCCCCACTATAAAAGATTTGGGTGTTATTTTCTCTACTGATCTATCATTTAATGATAATTTTAGTTACACTTTGTAATAAATCCATGAAAACACTTGGATATAGATATAGAACCCGATCCTGTGTTGATTACGTCTTTGTGTCCTCAGTATCTGTAGATTTAATTATGTGAGAAGGTCCAGTGCTAATGTTTACACATTAACTTGTATGAGCATAGATTAGACATTCTAATAGAACAATTTGGCCATTCAAATTGTATTCATACAATAAGATAGTTCATCTTAATATATATATTTGTTCTATATTACATTAATATAGTACACGATTTTAATATCTTAATTTACCTGCTTATATAAAGTAAAAAATATAATCCTTTAATGTATAGACGTATAGTTATAATAATCATTATAGGATATAGTTTCACAATACATATAGGAGTATAGGACACTGATTAATTACACTAAATTTTATTAAAATTAGGTAACTACTAAAGGATTCAATTTGCTCCCAGAGACCATTCTCATTCCTCAAAGTTGAAGATTTAACTACTTACTTTTTCTTCTCCAAAAGTATAATGTAAAATTAAGTAAAAAAATCTATCTTTAAAACACATCATTATCAAACCAATGCAATCATCTCTCCGTTGAAACTAAAGTTGTAGTATTAAACACTTAACTGCAAATATTACAAATTTATAATAATATCATACATAACAACTGGGTCATCATATGTACACAATTATATACACAATAATGTTTAAATATGGGGTTTATGTGAATTACATTATTTGTTTTTGTTTTGTTGTTCACTTGGTTTTTATCTTATTTTTTAATTTTTATTTTGATACATTATGGTATAGTGAAATAAATGTGAATTGAAAAAATGTTATATTTCACAAGTGCTTCTTCCATTGTTGTCGGATAGTTTAGCATCTTTCTTGCGGAACAGAGGAAAACGGAGGAATAAGTGTTTTATTGTGACAGGTTCATCACATTCACTGCAATAGGTTTGTTCTTTGTATTTAATTATGTGTATATGTGTATGGTTGGTATGTCCTATTCTTATTTTTGTCACTATAATCTCTGAATAGCGAGAAGTATTAATTAGGTGGTTAGATATGCCATTATTATTTATTTTATTTTTTATTTCTTAGAGATTATTGGTAATTCACTCTACGGTGTTTGCATTTTGGTAGTGAGAATATGAATCTTTTTTATCATACTAATTAAACATATAATATTTTGTAATTTTGAATATGGCATAAATTAATAATACATTTCTGTCTAGGGCCAATATAAATTAATCTTCAAACAGATTAAGAGTTGCAATCCTTCACATAACTATAAAATACAACATAATTTTTACCTGAGCCATGATAACAAATCTAATGTGACTGAAATCAGAGGAACCACATTCAACAACATTCCATTTGATGACACTTTGTTTGTAAGTTTGTCTAGTGTAGCTTTCAATAATAATAAAATCTATTTTACTGAAAGTTAGTCATTATTGAATTATGAAATTATAACCAAATAAACAATAATGATCACTTCATGTTCTAACATATAGTACACTCGGGCGGATGACTATGGGACTGGAATATATCACACCAATGCATAAACTCAAACAACTTTTTATATCTTTTACTTTTTGCCTCATTCATAATAATATTATATAATAATGTTACTCTTTTAATATAGTAACAAATTATTAAGCCGTCAAGATTTGTTTCCAGTTGGAAGCAAATTTTTCTTTTAAAGATGCAGACGGGAATTGGAAAGATAATACGTATATCCACAAGTCGCCAAAAGCTTGCTCTTCTTTCAGACTTTTAATGGGAGCCCAGTGGACCATGGTGATGGACGGATTAGGAGCAAAGAATCCCACATGCCCTTTACCTAAGGTATAACATAATATAACATATCAATGATATCAATATTTTAAGTATATTTTTATTGAAAAACTATAAAAGTAACTTCCATCAAATATAACTTGGTCACTATTATGCTTTATACTATTATCAACATTCTTACATTCATAACTATTTCACTCGATGGAATGTTATCATAAAAAATTAGTAGTTATTTTTTCAAACAATTTGAAAATAATATAGATACTAGTATAGTAGTATCAGTGGCGCAACTAGACCTCTAAAACGCAGGGTGCTAAATCTCTGAATGCGTCACAGAGTTGTGAGGGGCAGAGCCACCCACGCCCCCTGCAACTAAACCTAAAATACTCAATAAATCAAAATTTTAAAATACATATTAACACACTGCACATAAATAGAAGAAAAGAAATTAATAATTCTCTTTTTTTTCTACAATATCATTAACATATTGGTACATTTTAATTTCATAATCTTGTTAATAAATAACTAAGAAATCATACATTTTAAATCAGCATACATTTTCTGGGTTTCATGCATTATAAATAATTCTGCAACTATGTAATGTGATATAGTTACAGAAAAGTTCATCAACGGCCATATGAATAGATTATTAAATAGATCAAACAAATGTCAATAATGTACCCTGCTATTTCTTTCACATAATCTGTCCTTTATAATATACATATAACAAGTTTAACACAAATCTGCGGTTAGATTTAAATACATTTACTCAAAAATGCACAATAATAAATAAAAGAAAATATTTTAACTTGACCAGTAATGCTCAATGTTATGATATGATATTGTACCTATTTCATAATTAATACACTCTAAATTGAATAAGTAACGTTAAATTATATATTGCTAATATATTCATGTAACTATATCTTAACTGTATGGATACACATAAATATATGTTAAATAAATTAACTATTTATTTGATGCAGGACCATAAAATTTTATTATGCATAACCCATAGTGTATCTATGCAATACAAATATTTTAGTTTTTTATAACAACAGAAAATGCTATGTATTTACGTTCAATAGCATGATATTTACATCTATTTTGTTAACTATATGCAATAATAATAATGGCCAGATCCTACGGATTTCATCGGTTAAACAATGTTTAATGCAGTATTCGCTGATGAATATAAATAGCTTCGATGCTCAAATTGATGAACATGGAATCTTTTGAGTATGTGCCCCGTACGTTAAGGCGTTAGTCAAATAACGTAGAGTACCTAGGTAAGAACAAATGCGGGCGCGGATAATTGTTGTTGTCTCAACCACGGAAGACCTAATATGCTGTAGCATGGCCTTCCATGGGCGTGACGTTGCCACCCCCCCCCCTCTCACGAACCAAGACCAATTTTTTTGAAAGTTATGTTATCAATTTGCAAATAAATTACCTACAAGATATGAAAAATATAAGATGAGGGCAACTTCACGCTACACCCCTTTTGTGCAACAAATTGAAATATGCTGCTAACATATTTATAATTTCGAGTCCAAAAATCATACCAATCATAGGTGTTTATATGTAGGTACAGTTTATAGTATAATTAAAAATTATATAATGTGATACACAATTGAAATATACTACTTACAGAAGTATTTTATACTATATATCGGGCTATTATTTAATATAAGTTTAATATAGAATAATTGTTCCTTACCCTTATAGTCTTAATACATGGTAATATTACAATAGACATAAATTAATAATTTTTTTTTTTAATTTATTTATTAATTCTTTTTACTTTATATTTGTAGGAACATAACATGAGTTATTGAATATTATAAGCTCACGACCATCAAATAAGAGCTCACATTAATTAATAACAATTTTTATTTTGTTTTGCTTATAAATAGATTATGTTTTTCAGATCTTCAAGTTGTATTAGTTTTCAATTAATTAAGTTAGAAATCGTGGTTCATGATCCGGTTATTCTCGGCCTCCCAGATTTTTTTTATCTTTTGTCCGATTTTTTTTTTTGCATGTTTTTTCCTAGTTCCAATGATTATACATAGTATAAAGCGTTAGACCAAATAAACATACATCTTTTCAGGAAATGTTCGATGATTTAAAAGCATACAATTCATGATATTTCAATAAAGTAATAAAAGTTAGATATAAAAATTAGGAGTGCTAAATTTTAACTTGGGGGTGCTAAGAACCTTTTTGCACCGCCCTTGTTGCGCCACTGAGTAGTATACAACTTATTGTAATAAATAATTTTATTAAAAATTGTTTTATACTTTTAGGGCATTTATAACGCTCCGGGCTTGGATACATCAATATTTTTAAAGACCAATATGCCAAAAACATTTGTTTACGGGACGTACAAAGTTAAGTTTTATTATACTCGTAATAAAGAAGTTTGTGGCTGTTGCATTTTTATACTAGAATTCAAGCGCCTGTAATATAGATTTTATAATAGCTTATACAGTATTATAGGTACATATACTAAATCTAAAGACGCACCCACAATTATACACCCGCTTGTTCTTATCTTATTTTTTGAAGTGGAATTCCCATTAGTGGGAATTAGATTATCCTTGCTATTTAAAAAAAAAAATGGAAAGAAAAAATCACTGAAAATAATATAAGATAATCTTATTTCTAAGCTAAGGAATTATTATTATAAAACACAGATTGCAGACATTAATGTACCTACTTATATATACGAATACTCTTGAACCAAATAAAAATAAATCTTTTACAAATGTATTTTCAATAATACGAAATCAATAGGTGCTCATAAATCTTTATTTTTTTTTACTTACATTGTACGTCGGTATACTCCAAACGGCAGACGGCAGTTACAGAATACAGAGAGGTAATCGAAACCAGTTCATTAATACAATTAATTATATCCGGTTGTGTAAACATCTTCAAAACAACAAGAAACCATATAAAGTCAACAAGTCATAACTAACAACACAATTTTTCTAGCTTTTACAGATATTGCAGTGATCCTCAAAAACCATGAAATAAGTGGTAACTGTAAATTGGAATAAACAACATATTTTAAACATTGTTGAGTAATAATTAATAGAAATATACTAATCTGAGTTATAATACATTGCAACGTAACAGTTAATACACGTAATATGAAGTTAAGGTTTAAATATTCTTTCTACATTACTATTAGTAAGTGACTACTTTTTAATAAAGATTAATCATATCGACAAAATAATGTGAGGTGACAATGCAAAACGCGCTGTTCATGTTATACATAATTTTCAGAAGAAGTAATTTTCTTCTGGTTATTAAATTATTTAAATATAAATTTCAAGAAAATGATTACAAATAAATACAAATCTGAATCTGTTATGTTATTCAAAAATATTTCAAACTTTATTTTTATACTTAAATATAGTTTATCAAATGTTGAATGGGATCTTAACATACTATTTCCCACCAATATAATATCAGGTATTTTTTTAATTTGATGATTGCAAAACGTATGTACAATTTAACTAAAATGTTTACTACACTTTCTATTTCCATTTTTAAATTAATTACCTGCCAATAAATATATTATAAAGATAAGAAATTTATGAAATTCGTAAAATTGGTGCTTTATGAAGGTAATCATTGTTTTAATTTTTCATGTTTGTATTGGCGGGAGCCCAAACTATTAGCCCGTAGTATTATAACTACATACCTATTGGTAAATTAACATATAAATAGCAATAAATAATAAAACAATATTTTATAAGTGGGTACAATATAATTTAATTATATTAACTGATTTCCACAATTAAAATAAGTAAAAGGGGGACGAGGTGACCGAGTGGTCTGATTCTTCCGCTGCGACTCAGCCGGTCGCGGTTCGATCCTCGGCCACCGGGCGGCATTTTTCTCCGGACAAGTCGCGGTGACCGGAGAGCAAGTGCTGCCATCCCCCACCCCCGGGGCATGGCAGAAACCTACGGGTGCCCCATTCGAAATTCTGCCAAAACAAACACACACGTGTTCCCCCCTACCGTACCAAAAACATACAAACCATCAATACAAAAACCTACAGTACCTACTAATAGCTAATGGCCACAGTTGCCGGGCTCAGGATCAATTAAAAAAAAAAAAAAAAAAAAGTAAAAAATCAAAATAATAAATGATAGGTATTTTGTTATGCGAATCAATTAATACGAGAAATAAAATATTACATAAATTAATATAAATAAAATATCATATTATACATTATTAAGTATTTATTCAATTTTAATAGTGTAATTTGTCTTTGATTTAGATTTCATAAGCATATTTTAGTAGTTACAAATCAATGCTTAATGAATAATGTGTCTCTGTCTTATATGATTGTACATTTGTACATAAGAAAATGTGTAAAACTAATTTTTATGAACAAATTGGGTGGGGAGGCAGGGGCTACGGCGCCAGTCCAATAATCTATGTAATATATGGATATGTGAATATGATATTATTATTGTTATTATTTTAGTATCGTATAATATCATCGTGTATATTAAGCAAAATGATCGAAATGAATTATTTATGATAATCACTTAAACAGTTAAACGTCATACCCTCATGTAAGTGGGGAAGACAACATTTTTTCTTGGAAGGGGCTGATAATGTATTTACACCAGAGTTGCTTTAACTGTAAAGGCATAAAGCTCTCCCATAAGTTAAGCATACTGATGTTTAAGTTTTATTATAGAATGTATAGGTTACGGTTTTTGTAGGGCTGCACACATTTGCCTTTGCTAGCATAAATTATATTTTTATTTACGTAATAAAGTGTCAAAATAATATTATTTTTCTCGCCTTAAATATTTTTGCTTGTGAGTCAACAATATTTTGAAAATGTTAATGGGCCAATAAAGTTGTTGGCCTCGGGTCCAAAATCATCTTAAAAAGGGCTTGTATCTACTCATATGTATCATAATATAAACAAAAAAATACCAAATGAAAATTATGCTTTTTGCACGATAATAAGCTTATTACATAGAATTATCGAAATGGTAATTTTATTATTGGTTGAAATTGTTCTTTTAAACATAATTTTATCAATACATAATAGGTATATAAGTTTATTTTAATGATAACTCATCTACCTTAATCTTCGACAACGATACAGACAGATTATGCTATAATAAAAAACGTATAAAAAATATATATTATTTAAAAAAAATTATTTGTTTCCTTCGAAATTAAGAGTACCTACCGGCTACCATACATAACCAATATAGTCCATTGAAGTGAATCCAACTTTTAAAATGCAGTTACATAATATAATGAAGAACTGAATTACTTACATCATAACTGTAGGTAATCACCAAACACGACGATAGTTTATTGAGATAAAATAAATTATAACTAAAAAAACATAACAATATTCCTAGTTTAAAAAAAAAATACATATCAAAAACCTAGTTAGAATCTATGTTACTCATATACATTTTCAAATAGTTTATACAATATTGTACACATATAATATAGTCCCATGTAGAGTCATACATCACGAGTAGGCATATTAAACAACTGCCGATGGCTTATGTTATTGGTGGTCCTCGGAATATTTATTTATTTATATTTCATGAATAGACATAATGCCTGTATGATAAATAATTACAATCATAAGTAATAACTATCTATTATTATGGCCAACAAAATATAATAATTTCAACATAAAAAAAATGAATGCATGACACAATATATGAACTAAGAATTATAAAAAATAACGTCAAGGTTATGAATAATGTCAAAAAATTTAAATGCTCAACAAGATCAATGATAGCATGATCTTACACAATAAAATAAAATAAATGACTGATACTACTAGAAAAAATAAATTTAGCATTAAAAGAGAAAATGATGGTAGTATAATAACAGAGACAAATAAAAGATTAGAAGATGGATGGAATATATGCACAAATACTGTTCTTTAAAAATAGGCCAGAACAAAGTAGCATCAGAGTAGATGAAGGATTTGGTATAATGAAAGAAGAAGTAACAAATACATTGAAAAGTGCTTAACCTAGAAAAAACAGCAGACCTCGATGAAATCCATCATAATTTTTAAAACGGCTTGATGATGATTGCATAATGCATATACATAATAATATATTAGTTGATTTATTCAATACAATATATGCGTCAGGAAATATTCCGGAAGAATGGTTGACATCAACTTTTATTACATTGCCCAATGAGTAACAAATGCATTTTTTTTTAAACTAATTTACTAAGGCCCAGTTGTGGTAGTGTTATTATTTTGATAATGTTATTGTTATTTGTAAAGTACAAAATTACTGTGTTTTTTTAACTACCTAGATACAATCTGCAAACAAAAATAATACACTATGTTGATAAATATCATATTATATATAATATTTAAATGTACCTACATATTCGTAATTCTGCAGTAGTAATATATTATAACCAATGAATATTTGTATAAAAATTAAAATAAGTACCTATAGTAACATGATGACAAAACTCAATGGCATACATAATAATTGTAATCACCGGACATGACTATAATTTATTAAGATAAAATTAATATAATAAATTAATATTATACCTACAAAACATAATAATACACAATAAAATAATTAGAATCAATATTGTGGTGTATTCATGAAGTATAAAACTTTATATTATAGTTATAGTAAAAAACTAAACTGAAACGTTTCGTATATTGCAAATCATAATGCATTTTTTTTTTATTAATTTATTAACTGTATTATTGTTTCGATCGACTTCAATATTGTGTATTGGGCTGAATGATTTTAAAATTCTCTCTGCGTTACCATTTGTAAGTGATTTCTTTTTAATGATTCATTATTAAATTACTTCAAATGTTCATAACTTACACCATTTACATCGACATAACTATATATGAAGAAACAATGAAAAACGCACAATTTGTGTTTTAAATAATTTTTAGAAATAGTGATTTTCATCTATGAATTAAATCAGTGCCTCTCAAAGTGGGCGATAGCACCTCCCCGTGGGCTTTAATAGCCCCCGAGGGGTTGGTATAAGACTCGAAGGAAGTTTAATTAGTCATTGGTGTAATAGTGTGTCGTCTGTTGGATGTGACAAAATAAACATTTACAAAAATCCTTGATGATTGTAAAAAGTACGATTTGAATCAAACCTTTACAAAATTATCTATATCCATTAATTAATTAATTTTTAAAGATGAAGATATTAATTTAAAATAAAGAAATCAATGTACTTTTACTTAATTGATGGGATAACCCTTTATTATCTCCAATTTATTGAACATAATTTTAAGTGAAAAAAAATAAGTATATGACACATGAAGTATCTATTAATTTTACTGGTGAATATAATAATATACCAAATTGTAACAACATTACTTATAAAAATAATTTCTATGGAATAAGATGGTTTTATTTACGTTGTTAAAATAAGTTATGAATGCAAAGTCAGAGTGTTTGACATAAACAAGTTGTTAGGATATTCCATAATAAGATTAATTTACGATTTTGAAAGTTGTAGATAATAACGAACAATATTATTAAACATCCTAAGAACTAATACTTATAAATTGTGTATTTGTGTTTATACGTAATATAATAATTAATTGTCTGCCTACTATTATTAGTCGTAATGGACAGATTTTCTGTTACATTTTTAAAAGTAATTTTATTTGTAACGTCCCATTTTTTTAATGAAAAACATACATAACGTGATAAAAATAATTTTAATGTAGGCGATGAGCAACGTAATTTGATTACTGATTAGTAAAGAGTAAATAGAGTTAAGTAATGTACCCATCACTGTGTTACAGACTCACACCCATTGAATAATTTTGAACATTCTGTTTAGGGACAATATAAATTAATTTTCAAACAGATTAAGAGCTGCAATGTTTTACAAGAATATAAAATACAAATTAATTTTTACCTGAACCATAATTCCAAATCCAACGCGACGGAAATTAAGGGAAATATTACGACTGCCATACCATTTGACGATACTTTTTTTGTAAGTACACTAATGTTGCTTTCAACAACTATAAGTCCAGCATTTCACTCTGAAATTATTACTAAAAAAAAAAACAAAGATTACTTCATAGTTATCATTTACGTTTTGTCCGTCCGGGCGACTGTGAGACTGGGATGTATTGAAGTGTATATAGTTAATCGTAATATTTATTATTTTTTTCTACAATTGCAATATATTGTGTAATTTGTTTAATTGTAAAAATATATTAAGCCATAATGTTTGTGTTCCAGTTGGAAGCAAATTTTGCTCTTAAAGATGCAAACGGGAATTGGAAAGATAATACGTATATCCACAAGTCACCAAAAGCTTGCTCTTCGTTTAAACTTTTGATGGGAGCTGAGTGGGCCAGAGCAATGAACGGTTTGGGAATAAAGAATACCACATGCCCTCTATCTCCGGTATAATGACATAATTACAGTTCAATTTAACTTTGTCACTTTGTCGTTTTTGAGAATCAGAGCAGATTGGCATTAAGTAGACCGTTTTATTTGATGAAAGCAAATGTTATCATTAAAAATAATTTGTTGTACCCAACTTATATTGATTAATTCATAAAATTATGTACTGACTAGTTGTATTAAAAAAATGTTTTATAATTTTAGGGCATTTATATTGCTCCGGGCTTGGATACATCAATCTTTAAAAAAAACACAAATTTTCCTAAAACATTTATTTACGGGATGTACAAAATTCGATTTTTTTTTTCACGTAATAAAGAAGTGTATGGCTGCAATATTTATGTAATAGAAATTAAGCCCCTTTAATATAAATTTTAAAATAGTTTATACAATAATCTACACTGGCCTGTGTAAAGACGTATTTACCAATAAACTATAGGAAAGTTAGGCAACTATACCAATATTGGTATAACTGTTATAAGGGAACTTCGGAATATATAACATAAGTATGAATATGTACTGTTTTTTTTTTAAATTAATGACATACACAAAAATTGTTTAATTTGTTTTCAATAAAAATATACATATCATTTCATTTTCAATGAATATTCATTACATTTTACAAATCGTAATTAAGCGTTAACATACTTTAACAACTTTTTAACATTAAATTTCACAATATTGTACACTTATAAGGTTGCACTGGGACATAATATTTACCAATAGGCATATTAGGCGACCATTATTAGTGGGTCTTGGAATTTATTAAATAAATATATAAATATATTGACTTGAAATTAATAAGATAAAAATCATTTTTAATCCTTTGGTCAAAATAGTTAATAGATCATAGATAGCCCTCTGTTAAAATGGGAAGGAAATTACTAATTTAGTTTAGTACTCTCCAAAAAATAAAAAGGACCCAATTGGTGCAATAAGTAGGTACCTATAAAATAATTTGGGACCCAACTTGTGTAGTACCTAAAATAATCCCGGACCCAACTCGAATGCAGCCGGATAATTTGTTGTATGATGAAGAGCCCACAAATTTAAACTTTAATGTGATCCACAAACATTTTAAATTTGATTTAATTTATTTGTTTTATAAAACCTGATGAATCTATCTTAGGTAAGTTATAATACCCTAAGCTTTTAAACCACCTGCAGGGGGTTGGCGTAGATACACTATACACTACTGCTGATAGTAGAGGTCACTCATTCTATCTTGATTTATGTCTCAAAATACCTAAATCAGACAATGGCTACGAGCTCTCTGTTTTTCATGCCAGGGGGCAACAACTATATAAATGTTCACATTTTACACTTTTTCCAATTGATGTGAAATTCTTGGTGGTAGAAATAAGATTGGTCCTGCCAGTTTTTAAAAAATTATTTGCGTTTTCCTTCAGCTCTAAGGAAAATTTATTATGCAATATAGTTAAGCATAGACATTGATATAATATACAAACACTATATTCTCTCGAGCGTAGCGAAAAAATATTTTTATACTAATATATCTATATTTTCTTATTTTAAAATATAATAAATAGACTTGATTTAATATATTCCACCCTTATTTCACCCTCTTTATTTATCAACTTTTTAAATTTTTTATTTTAACTGTTTTTATATATAATATTTTAATTGTATGTAGTTATTCTATATATATATATATTTCTTATAATTCCAGTCATACATTTAAAATTCTAATCTTTATACTTAATACACATAATATTACATATCTAGTATACAAATACACAAAACAAGCAAAAACTTGAGTACAAATTCATGTCTAAGGCAAATATTATATCTTCCACAGAGCTTACCCCTCACTGACTCGAGAGAGGTTCCTATCATCAACCTTGCATACCTTACATTTGTTAATTTCATTATAAGCGACAACGTTATGTATAGGTATTACCTGTTACCTTAGAAGATTCAAGTTACATCTATGACGATGAAGTATAGGTATATTTATTTGGTATAACAAGTTTTAATTTATACTCAATGCCATTTTAATTATAATATTATATCTATGTGAGCATGTGGCATTTACACATAATTGGATTTAATTTATTATTCATACTCGTAGTCATTAACACGTATGACACAATAAAACCTAATTGTACATATTTAACACTTTACTGGACTATATCTATACCTGACATGGTTTTGATACTCCGATGACCAATGAGGCTAATTTATTTCGTCAATACTTACTTATTTCGTGAGATCATTGGGATCGATTATTTACACCTATTAAAACGTATAAAAAATTATAGAAATTATAACAATTATAGGCACATAATAATATGTAGCAACTAGTATTAATGCATTATACGTAAACATATAAATTATCCTATGATTATTTTGTCAGAATCAACACTGGGAATCGGAGATTTAATAATCATTGTTATTTGACTCTCGTCGTCAGTAAATTTAAACAACAGTAATTACAAGAAACCAGTGGGTGTATTTTCTGTATTTTGAAAACACCCATCCATCCATCAATAAATTATAAATAATCTCTTGGAATGTAAAATAAAGTGTTTAAAAAAAAAAACGAGGGGGATCTATCCCCCAGAAAGTCTGAAATTGGATATAGATACTAGATACATAAATTTGTCATTAAAATATCTTCATAATATAATATACTTTTTAAAATTATTTTATTTTATTTGAGATCAAAAATAATATTTTTAACTTTTTTGGCAAGTGTATCATGCAATATACTGTGATTATGAATGGAATATACCTTAAGTTATCATCTGTTAAGTTAAGAATTTACAAATATAATTACTGATGTGTAAAAAAAATTAAACAGACATTGGTAGAGTTGCTGCTTATAATAATATGAATAAAGAGATAAATTCTTATAATATAGGCAAGTACCTAGTAAATATTATCATAAGTTGCGTTTACTTATAATACATATTCGTGCAAGATTAATTATTGACAACCATTAAAATAATACATTTTATTTTTGCTACATGGACAGAAAAAAAATTATGTAACACATTTATATACCAACTGTATTATAATATATATATGTGCCTATTTTATTAGATATGTTCTGTTATTGGCTAAAATGTAAGTGTTAAACAAATGGGCTTCTTATTTTGTATGATATTTTACAATATTGCATTTCTGAATCAAATAAAAAAAATATAGATCGACTAAATTATTTCATGATAGTTGAATCATATCCGAAAACACCTATATATTATTATTATGAAGACGCAACTCGAAGGAAACACCATAACTATTAAGGCCGCCTAATTTCTAAAACATAAACGTTACAGCCGAGTATTTCATTTTTACGAGAATGTGAAAGACGGATTTTGTGTGTTCCATAAAAATATGTTTGAGGAAAATTGGTGTTCTTAAACATTGAGGTGTCTACACCATCTCCTGTATAAATACCCTGAAAATATTATACAAATAGTTTTAGACAGTTTTTGACGTTTACAGCCGCAAAATCAAGTAAAAATATAAATATTTTACGTGTGTATAATTTTAGCAATATTGATTGCTATTATTAATGTCTAACACAGCTATTAATAACATACGTCTTAATACAATTTATAAAACCATCATAAAACCAATTAATAATATAAATGTTCTTACTGGAGATATGGGACAAGCAGTGTTGTTTATTCCAAAACTGTTCAAGTACTTGTTCCAACTGTTCCCAAACCCCAGCTTGATCTTCGAACAAGCGTTAGGTGATTTTTGAATAATCGTATTATCTTTCCAATTCCCAAACGAATCTCTCATAGCCATGTTTATTTCAATCTAAAAAAAAAACGTTTCAGAAATTATTATTTAAATGAGATGAGTTATATGATTTACTTTACATCATTTATTTTATTGTTGCATATTATATACCGCACAATTTGAAAATAAATAGTGTTTGATAAGTTCTATTAATTTTGTTAAATATTATAATATTTAATGTTTATACATACGGACATAGTGTCATCATATGGGATTAGCATTGTAATATTGCCTTTCAATTTCGTTGAATTGGCCGTAGGAATAATGTAATGGTTAAATTGTATTTTATATACTTGTGAGGAATTACATTTAAATATTTGCTTGAAGATTAATTTGTATTCGCCCTGTCAATAAAATAATTCACTCGTATAATGTCTGATTCTGAGTGGAGAACGCCTGTCAACCTTTATTCGGTATATTGTATCGTATTATATTTAATTAGACATTAGACATATTGCGACTACAGTAATTAATAATTTATTTTATTATTAGTTATATGGTAAAACTATGAATAGACAATAGCTTAATATAAATCAAAATATTTTGAAAAAATCACTGCGTTTCGTAAAATATAATAAAATAAGTAAAAATGTCCTGTCTTCACGACAACTATTATTCATTGTTTCAATATCCATTTTTGTTAATACTTTAACTTCAAATGTATATAAATGTATATAATGTATAATTTTTAGATTTTTGGCTTTCAGTAGGAAATACGTCTTATGAAAAACTCAAATGTTCAAGTATTATATCTATAAAATGGTATCACGTCACTTGTTCGCCGAAAATAGTTCGCGCGACAGTTGCTCGCGCGTCTAATGTTCGCCTAGAAATTGTTCGAATACGAAATTGTTCGTGCATACATTGTTCGTATGTTCAATTAACATTAACTAAAAATAAATGAATAGTAAAAATATGTGAAGTTGTTATAAAATATCGATAACGTATCTCGTTATCGAACATTATATAATGGGCAGAAAAATCCCAATGTGTTCTGGAATAGTAGGTACCTACAAATAACAATTCTAATACTAACACATACCTGTCACAAAAATCATACAACTGAACAACTGTAATTTTGACCATCCAATTTTATTTTACCACAATAAGTATTTAATTACTATGGTTTTAAAGTACGTAAAAAGTGATCGCGGTACAGATATACTCGTACATAAAAGTTACATGTTCTACCGCGAAAAACAAACGGAAACAAAAACTTATTGGAAATGTTCATTGTATAAAAAATATAAGTGTGGTGGTCGTGTTCATGTGGAAAATGACGAAGTTGTCAAAAGTTATGAACATAATCATGTACCAAATAATGCTCAAGTGGAGACAAAGGAATTAATCTATAACATGAAACATGATGCACGAACCTCTGCTGCAACAAGTCACGGAGTCATAGGAAATTTAGCAAGTCAGGTAAATTGAATTATCTAAATACTTTGAATCTTAAATTAAAATTATGAAAAAATGCTCGAAACTTGAGTTAAGAACTTGAATTTTAGACTGAGTGTTTATAGGAATAATATACACGTCATGTTAAAATTATTTCAAAGAAAGTTACATTTTTTGCATTTAATTTAATTTTGTATTTCGTATTTTGTTTATTTTTTGTTATTTAAAACGACAACCCGCATGTGTTTTTGTTTAGATTTTCTTTTATAAATATTTATGAAAATGAAAATGTAATACAAGATTTTCCATAAGTTTGGCTTACAATAAAAAACTTATCATTTATTTGAAATTTAAAGCAATATGTTAACGTTTATATTTTTCTTAGGTTCCCTTATCGGTAGCAGGTCAATTACCTAGCGTAGCTAGTTTGAAAAGAACAATACAACGTGCTCGTCGAACTAAACTAAATGCTCATGTAAACCCTTTAAACTTTAGTTTTGACATTCCTGAAGAATTTACAAAGACGACAAATGGCGACGATTTTCTTCTTTTTGATAACAAATCGGATACAAAAAGAATATTATTGTTTTCAACAAAAAATAGTTTGGAGTTAATGAATAATTGCTTTAATTGGTTTTGCGATGGCACTTTTACTAGTTCACCTATTCCATTTAAACAGTTATATACCATTCACGCTGTACATTATTCAAATGTTATTCCTTCTGTTTACGCTCTTCTACCCGACAAAAAAGAAGATACATACATACAAATGTTTAAGGCTCTTAAATCATTAAGCCAATATTTAAATCCCGAGTCTATTATGATGGATTTTGAAAAAGCAGCGATGAATGCTGTTAAATCTGAATTTCCAAATACTTCAATAAATGGGTGTTTTTTTCACCTATCACAATGTATTTGGCGCCACTTACAAGAAGCAGGGTTACAAAAAAATTACATACAAGATTCTGAATTTGCCTTACACATTCGTATGTTACCTGCTCTTGCTTATGTGCCACAAAACAAAGTTATAAAAGATTATGAAAAACTTTTAGATTCTGAATACTTTTCTGAAAATAAAGAACTTTTAATGCCAATTATAGACTACTTTGAGGGTACCTGGATTGGCCGTTTGCATCGTAGAGGTCAAAGAAAAGATCCGATCATCCCCATTAGCGTATGGAATTGTTATGATTTAGTAGCGGCAGACCTTCCACGAACTAATAATTCAGTTGAAGGATGGCACAATTGTTTTTCGTCTACACTTAATTCATCCAAACATCCATCAATTTGGAGATTTATACATGCACTCCAAAAAGAAGAAAGTATTAATACTTTAAAAATTCAGCAGTATGTCGCGGGTCAAGAACCACCATCAAAAAAAATTTATAAAAATAAAAGTGAAAATTTAAAAAAAATATGTGCAGATTATAATAACCGTACAACAGTTGATTATCTTCGTGGTGTTGCATACAATTTTCAATTGCAATTATAAAAATTAAAAGCTACGTACATACCTTAATATTATTGACAACCACCAACGTGGAAAAATACTTAACATTGTATTTTATTTTTTTTATGTATTATTAGTATATTATTATTATTATTATTATTATTATTATTATTATTATTATTATTATTATTATTACTATTATTTATTTATTTTTATTTAATGTTATGTGAACATACGAACAATATATGCACGAACATTTTTCATAGATAAATCGAATGATCACGTCTTCTAAATGTACTTACAAATTTTAAACTCGAAATAAGGCTGACATCACTCATACAGATACTGGGTTTGCATTGAAATAATATTATTATTTTCCAAACCAATAATAATTGCTTCATAATGTCTTCGGATTTTTTTAAGGTAGAAATGTGGAGTTTATTGCGAAGGTATACCTAATCAATTTTTGGCTTCAATTACTAATATCTATATACATACAAAAATTACCAACGAATATTATAGTTTATGCCTAGTTCTTCTCAGGACAAGATAACAAAACAAAGTATAAACTCAACATTTCCCAACACAAATGAGACTATCTAAATTGTTTTTAAAAACAGAAACGAAATGTGTGAGCCCGGCATTATATGGGTACAGCAATGTAATTTTTATTTTCATTTCGTCATTGTCCTCGATTCGTATCTTTAACTATTTTTTGAAATTGTTTTTATAATTATTATTATGTGGCTATATAAAACAGTAGGTATAAGTATATTTAATGATTATGTACCGAACAACCGAACTCTATCTAATTTGTTTATCATATTATAATATGTTATTATGCTATAATTCGGTATGTTCGAATGACATACACAATATAATAATATTGTTAATTTATATTTTTGAAAATAGGTATCAGGAATAATATAGTACGACTCATACACATCAAAATTTCAAATAAATAATTGTTATATTATTGAAATTCGAATAATCCATTATTTAAAAAAGTATTAATTTTTTTTGAACTTTGGTTTTTAAAGATTAGATAGATCAATATTTTTTTATATAGATTTATGCTTTTCTAAAACTGTATAATATTTAAATTGTTTTCACCTTTATATTTATTGGTTTCGTAGTTCCGTCTCAATCATTATGGTGACAAAAAATCAAAATTACAGACAACTTCACTAAGCTAAACCCAATCAAACGAATAACTAACTTATAGTACATTAAATAATCATTATTAATTACATTATTATAATAATAAATCATTGTCACCTGAATACTAATTAGTATTATTGAACAGATATCTAAGAACTTTACAACAGTAGCAAAATTGTGAGTATGCGCCATGCGGAAAGTAGAGCTGGTAGATATACTTATTATTACGTAATATAATATGGGAGTACAAAATTGTAATATTATTGAATATTATAATAGTTCACTAGTGTTTAAAAATGTCATGAAATATAAAATAAGTTAAATATAATGAAATTTGTTTTTATTTATTTTTACATCCATTTGTTTTTAGTAAATGTTATTTTTTTCTTTAGTGTAATAAAGGTATTTTTTTACATTAAATTCTTGAAACACTGTGAATTTTTGCCTTATATTTACCAATGTTGCGGAAATTATGTACTCGATAAACTTTTGCACACAAGTGAATATTGAACCATGATATTTTATTTTAATAAAATATATTTTGAAGTTATATACATTATACATACTAATGCACTATAAAATAAATAATTGTATGATACATGAAGATAAACCATGTTAAAAATTTAAACTAAGAAAAGAAAAAATCGTCCGTCGTAGGTATACAGTTACAAACAGACTTGTAAATATAATCAGGTTTATTATTATATTAGCTTATATTTAGTTACATAAACAGTATCATTATTGCATCGTCGACCGTCGTCGAAGATGAGCCGATTCCCGGGAAAAAAAAATTCGCTATAAAACGTCGAAAACCAGACAGTAATATTCAGAGAATATGTTTGCAAAATATAAATTTAAATTCGTATTTATTTGGTGGACGTCAGCATGACTGCATGTTACATGTTATTTGTCAATTATATATTTATGCAGTCCATTTTGTAAATAACTTATACATACAATTAATTTCTGAATTTTATGTAAAAAGGAGTTAATATTTAATAGATATAATCTAAAAAACATTGTACTTTCATAATATTTTACAATAATTTATCCTATAGTTGAATATTGTTTGATAAAATATAAAAAAAATAAAATAAACCTAGTATATTACATTTTCAAACGCAGAATTTATCCTCTCACTAACAACTAGGTACTATGAAGTATACATAATGACTCACTATCACGACTCGCAAGTATTCAATACTGGATAAACTAAATCTTCGTAAGTTGGTCAGCCAAAATTTGAAATAGGAAAATGGAATTAAATTAATAAACGTACCAATATATACGACAGTGTAGTCTAACGGCTCTTAAGTGAGCAACTGTATTGATAGGCTTTTTGCACTCTCGTTGAAACTTTGAAAGTTAAAAACGATGGCCAATATGGCAGATGACCGAATATATTGTTTTGTTTGTCTCCGTTAATCAACATCACTGGAAACAGTGAATACTAATCAAATTATTATTTAAAAAATATATTGTAATGTCAGATTTTAAGTTTTCTTTGTGATTGGAAACAGTTGGAACTTATCAAAATGATTTTATTTGTTTTTTTTTTATAACAACTTGAATGATATACCTAATTGTGTTTGTAAGTTGAGTGTGATTAAAATTATTAGTTTTTTATCTACTTTCAAACAAATCCTTTAACGGCGGATGAGAACTGAGCAAATAAGTTAATAAATTGTTGCCTAATCCAATCATAGTCCATACAATATATTAGTGTGATACACAAGTACTTACATATCGTTTGATTTTGCCACCATATTTATCTTTGTAACACACATTTCTGAGTTTCCGGAGTTCTGGACTAACAAAATGTTTATGGATATTATTTTATTTTTCCGAAAAATTCCTTCTTGAATTAAATAATAACAATTTTTTTTATGTATAAATTGGTAACTTAGATGCGATTTGTCGTCAATTAACTTAATAAGTTTGATCACTATAATTTGTCCAATAAACTTTCTTAGTTTCCGTGAATGGCACAGCTGCGGTAAACGCTTTGACAATATTGAAGTGGTCGTATACGCGCGGGAAGTGCAGTCGTCAATTTGGGAAAAGCACGGTTGGCGGCACTGTTCGTTATCACAGACCATCGTACTATTCAACAGTATTGTACAACTGCAGCAGGCTGTAGTGCCGACTACCAGACTGCCGAGGACCGCTACGGCAGGGTAAATTTTTGTCACCTGATAACACACATTTTCTGTATAGGATGAGAAGGGAAATATGTAATTTAAAATTTGTTCTTCTGTCTACTTACTCTACTTAATTATTTAAGCGTTTACCGTTGTATGTATTTTAATCGTATTAGTAGGTATCCAGTTAACTTGTAGAAATGTCGCAGAGATTTTTTACCATATCGAAAAAGGTCGAGAGACTGTTGATGAATGGTATCCGTACAGGCCGATTAGACAATTTCGCAGTAAGTGGTCTGAACCGTAATAAATAAAAAGCCATGTTAAGCTCTTCAAACAGTTCTGAAAATAAAAAAATGAAGGGAAATGTTAAGTTGTTGTTTGTTTGTTTTATAGTTAAACCGTCAATTGAGTCTCTTGAGCAGGCGTCAAGTGTTACCGAGTTTAAACACTGTACTCAAACAGTGGACAAATCTGTGTGAAAAACCACCAACAGGTTTTGAAAAGTATTTTGATAAAGACAAAAAAACTAAAAATGATCAAAAGTCTGACAACCCTGCTAGCAAACCGACATCATTCGATAATGCATTTAAAAAGAAGATTAATCGAATGTCACAAGGGTAAATACATTTTATAGTTATATTTAATAACTTAATTGAATACTTATTATCCTTGCCGTTCAAATAAAAGGTTTTTATAGTTTATAAATTCAATTGTATTAGATTACCTAATGTTAGGTATTCATCAATTGTTGGGTTGTAATTGCATAGTTCATTGTTTTTAAAGCACCTTTTCTGATTAGCGATTGTATAATATGTTCAATTGGTTTTTTTTTTAAGTTGTAGGTACTCATCAAAAGATTTTTGTTTCTTATTTGTTTGTGTAAATTTGATTAATAAATTGATATTTTTCTAATATGCTTTTGTTATATTGTTGACATCATTGGCTCCCAAAGTTTATAACAACAATCCTTAAAGTGGATTAACTTTATCAATAAAATAACAATTTATCAATCAAAATAATATTAACATAATAATTTTTCATATTATATTATACCTTATTGATAGAAATAATGACTGACTTAATTGAGATTTTGCAATATGATGCAATTTGTACTGTTATTGAAATGGTAAAATGCCAACAAATAGCAAAACAACTTTTATCTTAAAATCTGGTTGTAACTTAAATATTTGTGTTTGTTTTGTTATTTAATGTAAACAGAAATTGTTTTTATATGTTAATTAGGTATAAACAGGAGGATTTTTTTAAGATGCTTAGTCACTGGATTTTTATAATTCACCAGTAATTTAGTTTTAACTAAATATTTCATATAGGTAGGTAATAATATTAAATACTTAAAAAAGGGAGGTATATTCCACATAATATTTAAAGCTAATTATAAATACCAGGCAGTGGGTATTATACATTTTTCATAATTTAAATGAATTAATTACAGGAACCACCAATGTTTTGATTGCGATTTTATCGTCATAAAAATATAAATGTTGTACAATTTATTTCAATTGATTAGGTGGATTGAGTAAATTATTAAACATTTTCATAGTACCTATTTAATTTTTATTTGTATGTTTTTCTTTTTCAGGTCTAGTTCTTCAGGTGATTCTGATAAAGAAAAATGGATACTTTATGGTGTAGCAGGTGTAATTGGAATAATCAGTCTCCTTGCATTCTACAATATGAGCTATAAAGAAATCACATGGAAAGATTTTGTTAATAAGTAAGAACTTAGTACTTTTAGTTTTGAATTTTAATGATTATTTATTATTATTTTATTTCAGAAGTTTAATTAATTAAATAATTATAGAAATATTTTATACAATAAGCATATTTTTGATTCTTTCATTTATTGGTTGCAGTTATTTAAATCGACATGTGGTTGAAAAATTAGAAGTTGTTAATAAGAAATGGGTTAGAATCAATCTACAACCAGGATCTTCTATCGACGGAAGTGTATGATAATTAATAAAAGCTCTATTATATTATATACATAATACATGTATTTTAATTTTATGCATATTAATATTTTACAGGCAACTCTATGGTTTAACATTGGTAGTGTGGACTCCTTTGAAAGAAGTTTAGAAAATGCACAAGTAGAACTAAATCTAGAGCCAGCCAATTTTATACCAGTTGTCTATAAAACTGAATTGGAAGCAGGCAGTTTCTCAGGGTTCCTTCCGACCTTATTATTCATTGGATTTTTATTGTTTATGATGAGAAGGTCAGCTGAAATGATGACAGGTCGTGGTAGGCGAGGAGGTGGACTATTTGGAGGCGTAATGGAATCTACAGCCAAACTTGTAGATCCTAAAGACATTGATGTCCGTTTCAAGTACATAAATTATAATTATTATTACATTAAATTTGTAGTTAAATATAGTAGTTTAATTTGACAATTTAATTAAGGGATGTTGCTGGTTGCGAAGAAGCCAAAATAGAAATCATGGAGTTTGTTAACTTTTTGAAAAATCCCCAACAATATTTGGATCTTGGAGCCAAAATCCCTAAAGGAGCTATGCTCACAGGTAATATCTATCTTTCTCCCATTTATTTTAGCAAAACTACCTTATGGAATTCTCTAATAGTTGATAAATTATGTACAAATATTCTTACATTCAATATTATGTATTTAGGACCTCCGGGTACTGGTAAAACGTTACTTGCCAAAGCAACGGCTGGTGAAGCAGATGTTCCATTTTTATCAGTTTCTGGTTCGGAGTTCTTGGAAATGTTTGTTGGTGTTGGGCCATCAAGAGTCAGAGATATGTTTACAATGGCTCGTAAACATGCTCCATGTATATTATTTATTGATGAAATCGATGCTGTTGGCAAAAAAAGAGGAGGTCGTAATGTGGGTGGTCACTCTGAACAAGAAAACACTTTAAATCAACTGCTTGTAGAGATGGACGGTATGAAATGATTATTAAATAGTGTGTGTGTATAATATTATTTGCTAATAATATCTATGTTTTAGGGTTTAATACAACTACTAACGTAGTGGTATTAGCTGCTACCAACAGAGTCGATGTTTTGGATCAAGCGTTGATGCGCCCTGGTCGTTTTGACCGACAGATTTATGTTCCAGCACCTGATATTAAAGGTCGTGCGTCCATTTTTGGTGTGCACTTAAAACCATTAAAAACAAATTTAAATATTTTGGAGACTGCTAGAAAGTTAGCAGCTCGAACGCCGGGTTTTACAGGTATCAATTAAAAATTCAGTAACAAAACCCGTATAATATTTGTTATATTATAATATCCTTTAAGATTTTAGATTTAAGATGATATCAGCACAATATTTGTTTTCTCCCAGACCCGTACACATAGATAAAACGTTCACCTACAATTGTTTTTTTTATGATTTTTGAGTATTCTTATACTTATTGTAAAATATAGTGTATAATATTTTTTAAATGTAGGACATATCGATTTTATATTTTATTATTATTTGACTTTCTATTCTACTTTCAAAATAAAAAAAATTAATTTAATATAAGTGTTGTTACATTGTTTAGACACGATATTTAGACAAATTAACGTATCATACCCTTAAAAATATTGTCCATCGTTTTTGCAATGGACGATATACTCTGAGATTACTCAAAAACATAAATAAAATGATTCTGGGCAAATGCATTTTTTCTATGTTGCTTGTGGGCCAAAGAGAAAACAAATAGTACACAGACGTCCTCTTAATTAAGAGTTATGTGTGGAAATTTAGTTATTTGTTCTAATTAAGATACTGCATTTCAATTATTCAATCAATTTGATTCAATTCTTTAGTAAAACATACAGCTGGTATTAGCTGTAAAATTGAATTTGTATAATATAGATAATATTTAAAAAGAACTTTCAATCACAATATTCATACTTCCCTAGTGTTTGTCCTATGGATAAAACCCGGTTTGTAATAAAATTACAAGCTTTAGTGTGATCCTTTATATAAGAGCCCAATCAATGTTATAATTTTAAGTAAAATATTAATTGGGTGTTTAATCTTTTTTTATACTACTGTCTTGCCCTGTGCATATCTATATACTACATACTTTTATGCCAGTATCCTACTTATGAAATAACACCTAGCTTTTAATTAGTAAAAAATATATTAACCATTTTACCACAATTTATTTTGTTTCAAAGAATTCCATACTATGTGTTTAGTGTTTGAATTGTGAATTATTGTAACTATTATTGTCTTATATTTCATAACCAAAAGTTTTTAAATTATAAAATAGATGTGATAATATTTTTTTTATTGTATTTCAGGAGCGGATATCGCCAATGTATGTAATGAAGCGGCATTAATAGCAGCCAGAGAATTGGCTGCTAGTATTTCAATGCAGCATTTCGAACAGGCCATTGAGAGGGTTGTAGCTGGTATGGAAAAGAAGAGTAGAGTTTTGCAAGCCGATGAGAAAAAAATAGTCGCCTACCATGAAGCTGGTCATGCTGTTTGTGGCTGGTTCTTACAGTATGCAGATCCATTATTAAAAGTATTGCTAAACATTTATACATATATATTTATAGACATATGACTCAAAGGTTTGTTACCTCTATCTTAATTCACATAACACATGGAAATGATTTTATGTACTGTTAAATAACTTAACGTTTTAAAGTTAATACCAATACTGTTCAATTATTATACATGTTGGGAAGAATAATATTTTCTATGATCCTTCTAACATGCTTTTTTTAAAATTATTATTTGATAAAGACTTAATTGTTCAATGATTAACCATAATTAATTACTTCAATATTTTACTATAAAATCACCAAAAATGTTTTACTTTAATCTTATCTTTGGAATGATATGATGTAAATATGTAATATGATTTTAAAACGTATTTTGGTTTAAGTTTGCCAATATATAATTTTCCGTCATGAATTTTGAAAGATAGATAGTACATTTTGATCTGATGTCATTTTAAGTATTATATTTTGTAAATTTGTTTGATTTTAATGTATTTATGTTTGTATTAGGTTTCAATTATACCAAGAGGTAAAGGATTAGGCTATGCACAATATTTACCCAAAGAACAATATTTGTATTCAAAACGTCAGTTATTCGATAGAATGTGCATGACTCTTGGCGGTCGAGTATCAGAACAAGTATTCTTTAATGAAATTACAACTGGTGCACAAGACGATTTGAAAAAAGTCACTGAAAACGCATATGCACAGGTACTGAGATCATAGTTCTACATAGGAAGTTGACGATTTCACTGCTAGAGACATACTATTGCAGTATTTTTTAATATTGTCATAATTTACTAGTAATATTTTAACCTAAAAAAAAAAAACGCCTTGCATGATTTCAAACTTAAATAATTAGATCATATAGATCTCTAAATTAAAATTAAAAAATACATTTTATTTTATGTAGCATACACGTGTTGAAAATCTTAATTAGTGTAGCAGTGAAAAGGTTAAAAAAATCAAATTCAATACAGACATACTTAATTAAGATAATGATATTTTAGGTTGCACATTTTGGAATGAATGAGAAAGTGGGTAATATCAGCTTTGACTTGCCTCAGCCAGGAGAAATGACATTTGAGAAACCTTATTCGGAAACTACAGCCCATTTGATAGATTCAGAAGTAAAAATATTGGTTTCTAAAGCGTATGATGATACTATGGAACTAGTTAAAAAACACAAGAGCGACATAATAAAGGTAAAAATATAATGTTTGTGTACTATTAGCAAATTATTTTTCTATAGTAATTCTACTATCATATTTATTGGATGAGAAAATAGTTCTGCACAAATTAATATGTTTCAAGGTGCATAGCGAATTTAGTTACCTATGTTCCTTTTGAGGTTCTAAAAAATAATTTATTTATATAATTAATATAAAATATTATGGGATTATAAAACAATACTTTTAAACAGTAAGAACATACAATTAATAATAATAATTTAGTTATTTTTATAAATTTAAATATAAAAGCGTTTAAATTGTTTTTCCTACTTATCTTATATTTTTTTTACTAAGTGATAAATTGTTGTTCCCTGGTTAGATATCTATCTCCTGCATTATTATTTTTTGCATCAATTAAAATAACATCATCATTAATAGTATTCTTTATCTTTGTTTCCTGTATTCACAATCATAAATGTCATCACTTAATGTCCTTCTCACTCATATCAATAATTTGATTAATAAGTCTTTTCAAAAAAATATAATAATCTCTGAAATTTGGATTAATTTATACTTAATTTTAATGAATATGTTGTAGGTTAATGCCCTTTCAACTTCTTCACATAAACTGTATCATAAACTGACATACAATTTATTAGAATGTTTCAATACCCAAAATATATTCTGTAAAACCATAACTGTTGAACTATTAGTTAAATAAATCATGTATTGTGTTTCATAAATACCCATTTTAAAAATGCATCTATAATGACTTAAACATATTTTTGTTTGTTGATCAAAAAATTCCAAATGTACCCTCTGTAATATAAATTTAAGAACTTGGATGGGCTTTCAATGTACACAATATTTACACCTTTAAGCAATGCTTTCTATTTTGTTATAAATCCTTTGTTCTTACCTTAAATATGTTGTCTGATATGCATGATTATATTAATGTGACATAACTTTTTACAAATTTTTATTGTTGATATTTCGATTTTGCATTCCGTCTGAATTTTACAAACATATTTTTGTATTGACCTTTTTATTATTTGACTTGGTTGTAGTAGGTGTTTAGTAAAATGATTAAGTATAAGTTTAAATGCTACATTAAATGCCTGATTATTAAAAAAAAAATCAACTTTATGCTACTGTGGATATTTTGTTGACAAGATGAAAGCAAATGTATACATCTGCCATACTAGAATGCTAAATAAATATCTGTACAAATTATTTTTTGTTCATTAGGTTGCTGAAAGATTGTTAAAACAAGAAGTACTTAGTAGGGAAGATATGATTGAACTTTTAGGGGCCAGGCCGTTCCAGGAAAAATCGACTTATGAGGAGTTTGTTGAAGGAACTGGTTCAATGGACGAAGACACAACATTGCCGAAAGGACTCCAGGATTGGAATAAAAACAGTGAAAAAAAAGATGATACAAAGAAAAAGTAGATTATTATTTCGGTTGAATTTAAATGTTACAATGTTAGTATGTAGTCTGAATAAATATGATTAAGAATAAGTTATACATATTGTTTTGAATAACAATTATTCCTTTCTCGTATTTTATGTATGTTGCATTTGCTTGTTCTAACATTTCGTTTGTACGGATTTCACGTTCTATTCGATAATGTCTAATTCACTTGTTTATTAGTTGGTTTGCACCATATTATATTCGATGTATGTATTACAGAAAATATATTGGTATCCTAGACTTGGTTTTATTGTTCGATGTTCTGAGAACAAAAGTTAACATTTAAATATATATTTATAAATCTATAAATATTTATTGTGTAAAATGTTTTCGGTTTTGTGAATAAATTTTTTTAATTGATTTTAAAATAATTAATTTGCCTCTAAAATAACTGATATTTGTTGAAAATACAAAACCAAATGTGGCCAATACTGATATAATTCGTTTCTACTGTATGTATAGTTTAATCATACATAAATAACCTGTTAAAAGTAATTTTATTTACAGTTGATTCACCTATAATAATATACAACAAACTACAAACAGTGGTAAAATATGAGATTTAAATGTGTAGGTGTGTAATATTAACACCAGACAATTATTTTAACAGTAATCACCCATCACCTCAAATAGTATTAATGTATTTTACAAAATATTATTTTTATTGCAGTTAGACACAACAATAGGAACGCTCCTTTGTCGGAGTAGCACTTGTGAACTTAATTAAGAGGTACCGATGTAATTCTTAAGTAAATTATTGAGCAATAAATTAATTATTTTCATTCACCTGATATTCAACTTCTTTTAAATGCTCATTGTTGGCTATTTGTCGCACCTTTGGTTCCTTCATATTTTAAACCGTTGAGTATCTGTCATCCTTATTTTGACCACTTTTACAGACCATAAAATTGTTATCACATCTAAAAAATATTTACTGTGCTATAATATATTTTTATATTACCAACGGGTGTTGTCCAGCTACATTTCTTAACTTGAACAGAGTATACTATCATAAATTTAGCTGCAGTAGGATTTGTATCAGGTGAGTATAATGACAAATATAGGCATTTTAATATTGAATTAAACAACTGGCAATGCTGAAGGCTCATCAATTATCATTGTCGTTATAAAAACACAAAAATAATTTTTAGTTATTAATAAAAACACTTTTATTCAAACGAACATTTGCATTTTACAAAAAAAAAATCAAAACAATTTTTAGCATTATATATTTAATGTTTTTTTTTTTAGGTTTTTTTTTTCAAATTTTTATTATTATGTAACAATAACATGCTGATTTCTTTTTCAATCAATATACAACGATCATTTTACAAATAATTGTTTGATATAGGTACTAAATTAAAATTATTACATCCACTATATAGATATTATATATATTTATATATATATATAAATTGTACAAAGGTACACATACACATATATATATATAACTATATAATATCTACTAAATAATACATATTAATATAATACGATCATTGGATTACAATAAAAAAAAACAAATCGAAACAAAAACAAATTTTATATAAATGATTTAATTATTTATTTACAGAACAAATCTAGGAATGTATGTATATATGCAAATATATATATATAATATGTATAATAATAATAATAATAATAATAATAATATCATAGCAATAGTAATAATAATAATAATAATAATAATTGTGATTATTATATTCACATATAATAAAATGTTATAATATAAATAATAATTATCTCATCGATATTAGTAGATTTTATATCATCATCGCTTGGTTTTTACTCAACGTTTTCATTTTTTTTAATCATTATTATCATCATCAATATTATTATTATTATTATTATTACTACTACTATTATTACTACTATCATTGTTATTATTATTATTATCGTCATCTTCATTACAATATTATTTTGTTTCGTTCTCGTAGTAATATCCGGCACACGGATGAAATGCATTAATTTATATAATTTTACAGTTCAACAACGACGCGTCGAAAACCGCAGTCTCCGACTGCAGTGTGTGCAATGTGCATATTGTATGCAGTTACCCACAGTATAATAATATTATTATAGGTACTTTAATAATAATAATATAATGTTTTTAACCGAACAATATTATGGACTATAGTATGTAGGTAGTAGTTTTAAGAGAAAAATAGTTTCGGACGATTGGCGAACGCCCACAAAAAAGTCATACAACGATAGTATTAGTATTAGTAGTACTAGTAATATTGTAATAATAACAATAACAATAATAATAATAATAATAATAATAATAAAAATAATAAATAACAACAACAACAATAACAATAATAATGATGATAATGATAATGATGACGAGAGAACAAATTATTAATATAATATAATATAATAATATTATTATTTTACAATTATTATTATTATTAATATTTATCGCATAGTAATATTGTAATAATAATATTCTATAGAAAATAATATATTATAGGAAGAACGCAACGAACGAAACGAGTGTAAAATGTACGCGTGTCTCGAGATTGTTAGGTACTCGTTTTGGATGGATTTTTATTTTTTTTTACTGGAAATAGTACATTATTATAGCGATAAATAATTATAAACGATTATTGTGTTTTTCCCCCTCGAAAACAATTAGACAACCATAATATTGTTTAACATAATATTCGGATTTAGTCATTTAGATCGATAGCTATTTTATTATACGTAGGTAGGTAGGTAGGTAGAGGTATTACAAAATAATAAAAATACAATTATTATTATAATATTTTACACGCGGCGGATTTCGTTTTCAGATTCCCGCCTGCGCTGCATCGACAGTCCTGATGTGGCCCCCTCCGTATTTTGGGCAATGGGGCCCTTTATTTTATTGTTGGAAGGTTTTTTTTTATGTAAGAGCGCTTTTTCAAATATTTTCCAGGTGAGTCGAAAATGGAATATCCACCTGTGGACGGTGCTGTTATAATAGCGTCGGGCATCTATCATATAAAATATCATAATAATATTATAGGCATGCGCACTACACGTGTGGACTTACGGGTTTAAGAACACAGATTTGGGGACATATATTATTATTATTATATAATATTATTATAGTCTAAAAAAACTTCTTAAAAGTAAAAAATCAAAAAAATCGAATAGTTAAAGATTAAAAAAAAAAATATATATAGTAACTATATTATTGCCTTTTCCCACGCAAAACTATTAATACAATAATAATATCAACCAATCAATCACACGTGTGATGCGTTTTGATAATATTATATGATTATTACGTATATATATATATAAATATATATATATATGATATATTATTACATATATTATAATGTTTTTCAATCGAAATATTAGGTATATTTTATTAATACTAAAACCCGCGAAGCATCATAAGAATATTATTACAAGTAAGACAACACCGCGACTCGCGTTTTGCACCGATTAATCGTTTCAAAATATACATAAAGATTGTCGATAAATAATTATTGTTATGAAATTGTATTTGGAAAATCAAATTTTTTTTTTAAAAATAATATTTTATTTAAATTTTATTTTAGTATTATATTTATTGAATTCCATACAACGTGGGGAGCAGTACGCGTATAATATAAGAGACGTGTTTAACATTATTTTTTTTTTTTCGTTGCATTTAATTTAATATAATATATTTCTTACTCCCTTAGAATACATAGTCTTTTAATTAAGACAACTATTCAAAACAACGATAAAGAAGTGCAGTAAAAAAGCTTTTATTTTAGCACGAAAATCGCATAAAATCCGAGTTGCGCGCAATGGCCGAACGATACGAGTGTTGTAGATAGGCTTATCGAAAAAGAAAAATCATCGACGGTCGTGTGAAAAAAAGTGCTATCGGCTGCGGTTATATCGTTTGCAATTTTTTTTTTTTTTTTAAACCGACCTATCGTTTTGTGAAAAAAATTTTTTCGTCTTATTCTCGTTATTAAAAAAAAAAAAAAAAACAAAAATCATTCTAATCTCTATATAATATTATATTAACAATATAATATTAATTGTGCAGCCTTTTTTTTCCAATCTGTTGCAATTGACAAGTTTATTAAATAATAACACGCTCTGGTTGATTGTATAACAATAAAATATAAAATATTATTATTATTTTTTTTTATTATTATTGTAGACATATTATATTATTATATTCAATAATAAATAGAAGTTGCACATGTGTTTTTAATTTTTTTTAACAATTAACGTACAATAGGTCAAATCAAACAACAATAACAATAATAATAATAATAATAATAATAATAATAGTGATTTATTCGTCCGACGATATTGGTAATAATAATAATATAATTTTAATAATAATAATAATTTATTAATGAATACACCGGTAAAGAAAACGTTGTTACCTATATTTAATACAAATACCAGTACAAAAAAATTTAAGTGTTACTCAATACCATTACTATTATCGTTATATAATAATATAATTATATAGGTTTATACAAAAAGCTTAAATCGTTCACACCATAGGCACCTATATGCACGTATACAATATTATAATAATATAGGTAGGTATATAATAATTATAATATAATAATAAACCCTTTGCGTAGCGTGGAGGCGCATGTCTTAATTTTTTCTTGGTTCAGTACCATATTCGAACAGCATTATTATGGAAAGTAAATCGCGCGACAAAATTACAATAATAATAATAATAATAATAATAATATACGGGCAACGAGAAGCTAAAATAGCTCATATCTTAATTGATTTTAAATGACAACAATAATATTGTCGTGTTATACTGCAGGGCGTTTACGGGCAGTGATTGTCCCCGTGGCCCGTACACACCGACCTACCAATTATTGTAAGGTAGGATCTACCTTGTTTTGAGGGGGGGAGGGGGTGTTCGAGAAAAACTCATTTCGAGAAATGTTGATAGGTTTAATGCAATGCTCTCCATTATTTAACAGCAGCATAAATAGTACCCAGTCGTACGTATATTAGGCGTAAATTAAAGTAGGTACTATGTTTAACATAATCTTGGCTTTAATATTTGTGTATGCTTAAAAAACGTTGACCACCTAAAAGTATCTTTGCCTGTGAGTTTTTAAGTATAAAACTATTAATAGAACTCACTCAAATATTAAAAAATGTATTACATTGATGTTCTGTAATAAATAGGAAATAAAAAATAAGTAATTATTATGAAAGGCTTTTTGGATATTTATAATATTTATAATATTGACATAAATTGGTTACGTATAATAATTATTATTAGTAATTTTATAAATGTTTAAAGTCATGTACCTATCTTTAATAAAGCAGGTAATAATTTTCCAAAACCGTAATTCAAAAGACGTATATCCGATGGAAAACAAGTGACCAACGGGGACAAACACTACACATCCTCACTGACAATATCATCATGATAATTATATTATTATCACGCTGAAACACGTGGAAGAGGTTGGATCAAATATCATTTTCGGAACACAAAAATTAAATTGTGGTTAATATAGTGAAACTTTCCATCCTATCGTCGTGAAATAAGACGTTAAAGTTTGTTTCTAAATTAATTAATTATGATTTTATACGTCTGACGTCAACTTATTCAAACCAATAACAAAACAAAAGGGGTAGTTGATGAAAAACTAAAGTAAGAGCGATCAGCACGACGGTTGTTGTGACAAATTATAACATTATACATTATAATCATAATAATAATTACCATAATACAAAATTATAATCCCAACCCGTTAAATACCTAATTATGAAGGTATTTCCTATAAAACTAATAATAAATTATATATTTTGTGAATGCGAATGCGAGTGTGTCGATCTAGGCCGTATCGTAAAAATGGGATTGTGGTTTAGATTAATTAGTATAGTGTTGCATGCTATTAATATTGTAAATATTTATTATTATTGTTATAATTATTATGACAATGATGATGATATGATGATTATGATGACGATAATGACTGATTGTGAATCCTTTTGACCGATACGAAGAAAAAAAGATATGAAATGACGTAAGGTATTTAATATCAATAATATTTCCGACAGACTGTATCAAATTACCCTGTAATCCATTTTTTTCCCACACGAAATGTACCTAAAAAATTCCGTTAGCGGATGCGCGATCATAGAATTATAGGCTTTTTAAAACCAAAGTAAAATCAAAAAAATCCTCAGCTATAAGTACAACTGTTAAAGTAAAGTTGTACTATTATGCTATTGTCATTGATTAAATATGTATAGAACTATATTATTTATATCAATGATAATATTATATAAATGTTTTGTAATTATTATGGTAATTAATAAAATAAAAAATAAAAACGACGACGGACGACGGTACAAAATATATATTTGAAAAAGTGGTGGTTGTTACGATGGCGTTTCAACGGCCTAAATCGATGCGCGTTTTGCCGTTTTCACAAAATATATTAGTATTATTGTTGTATAACGACGATCAAATACCCATTTATATGAAGTTATTAAATAATATTATTTTGACGTTTTGTTGCTGAACGTTTTTGACGGGTGAAATGTTGTGCGCGATTGCGTGGTTAAAACGTGGTAAACGTGCACACCACTTACCGATACGTATCGTGCTATACGAACAGAGAATAATATATTACTTTATTATTATTATTATTATTTATCGACTTAAAAGTTATCGATTATGGAATACGCGAGTCCATCGAAAACGTCGGTCAACCCTCAATCCGAATTCTATAATACCTAAATTATGTATTTGTGTTATTTCACAAAATATAACGATTAGGCTCCTCCTACCATAGAATCGATAATAATAATAATAATAATAATAATAATAATATTAATATTAATAATTATTTTATTATTTATTATACACAAATCTATCAGTAAAAAAGTCCTATATAGATTTTGGTCCTCTACCTTTCGTGCTCGTCGTACTGGCATGAATCGATCGACAAAATAATATATTAACAATATTATAGGTATCATTTTCTTGTCATGTTCTTTACAAATCTGCCGACGTATGACAATAATTTTGACTATCCAAAAAATATGTCTTCTTAAACGGATTCATCATTGTTCGTATTATTGCAAAACAGTGTGCATGACTCTAAAAAATGCTTATAAATAATAATACTATGTATAATGTGATTATTGTTATTGTTATTATTATTATTACAATTATTATTATTATTATTATTATTATTATTATTATTATTATCATTATTATTATTCTAACCCGAAAGACTCGCGACTAATAATTTATTATATAGGTAATAGACACTACAGGCGATCAAAAATATCATAATAAGACTTTTGCGAGAATATTTATATAATCGGTACAGATTTTACATTATAAAAAAGGAAAAAATTGTATTTAAAAAAATGTAATAGCTTTCGCATCTCCAACGCGTTATGTTTTCAAATAGTTTTCGTATGTGTTTCGGCGGTGGCTTATAAGATAAAAAATTAAATAAATTAAATAGAAATATTGTTTTTTTTTTAATCCAGTCAAATAAGGCTTATCGGTATATAGGTATAGTATATATATATAATATATATAGTATTAAAACCCGTACAATTTGAAATAAAACAATTTGAGACGATCCGTTTATTGTATTTTTTTCCTCACGGCTGTGGATAATAATAATTGCTGTATTATGTATCATAATATTATATTATTAGAAAATTATCCCATCAAAAGAGTGAGATTTCGAGTACAATTTTTATTATCGTTATTAATATTCGCTTAAAAAAATATTATAAATAAACTTGTCGGAGGTAACTTAACGAAGGAAACATCTTAGCTATCACAGCACAGCACCTTATAGGCGTTTGGAGACCTGGACGGCCGCCGGATTGCAATTTGAATACTAGAATTACAAACAACACATTTACATATCAGTATAATAGTTAAATCATCATAATTATACAATATTAGGTATCAAAAACCAAATAAAATCATTTATGATTTATATATTCAAAACAATGAATAGGCACTTATTGATATATAGTAGTTAATCAGAAGTCATTATTTTTTTAATTTCAACATATATAGTTAAAAAAAAACATGGTCGAATAATATCACGTTAAAGCATGATCGAAGAGAACAAAATATATTGATAAAATGATCAAACGTCATGAAATCATTGTAGAATTTACTAGCTTTGTCCTTTAAATTTAATAAATCAAATAACATATTATTTAATCATCAATAATTTGATATAATTTGTAATGATATTAAATTAATTGATATTATGTAATATCAAAAAAAAAAAAATGCAAGTTTTGAAGTTTCCATCATAATTACTTTAGCACTCTAAACGTATATGTTTAAGTGTAACTTGGTTTAAATAATTACATATTTATAGTCACTGTTGTTATGCCTATTGTATAATTTAACTATATATTTAATTTTGAGTACTTTGAACACGATACGTGCGTTTTATCAATTATAAAATACGAACAATTACGAGCGATATAGCAGAAAATAATACATTTTACACGCAATCACGACTGTGCTTGTATTCGAAAAAGTACGTATTTTATTTTTGAGCCCAAAGCGTTTCAGAACGTTTCTACTGCCTTACTCCCAATTTATGTTTTTGTTTTGACTGTCGTGTAAAAACTAATGAAAATATATTTTATTAATATATAATATTATACCTATATATTTCAGGTGATGCAAAGTTTTAATTGGTTTCTAAAACAAAAGTTACAAAGTCGTCAGATACAACTTTTAGATATGGCTGGTACCGATACGGAAATTACACGATTGGCGTGTTTCACGATAACTGTTCATATAAGTGTACTATAGAATATTTCAGCAATAAAATGTAGATTACTGTAATATTTTAACAATAAGGGCTTGAACGAATTGAGAAATGGCTTCAAATAGCTTAACTGTAGGAGATTACCTACCAATAGATTAAAATTATTATTAAATGTCACAAATTAAAGGGCTTTACGAAATTTTGGAATTAAAAAATTTAGCGAGTTCTTTATAAGTACTCAATATAGGTATATCTTATTAGCTTATTTATTGTGGTTCTAGCGTATCGGTGAAGATCGATAGATCCTAGCTTGGTTTTCCAAAAATCTATCGGGATTCAGAGCGATATAAATAATGTGATATCATACTTTAAAATTGTTGAAGATAAAATATATGGTTTGATGATTACACAAATCTAAAACAACAATACAATAAATTATAGTGTGTACCTATATATCAGATTTTTAGTTTTTTTACGAAACTCGGATATAACTTCGGAGTTATGGTTATAACTTATAAGTTATGATAATAAAAGGAATTGCGCTGAAGAAAATGTTTGAGTAGAAAAGGAAAGCACAGACTCTATACAATATACCGAACTGCATATCACAATAGTTATTTATCTAGATAGGCACGTTAATATTGAATATCCAATATATTATATATTTTAAATAATACAATTTTTTTTTAGGGCATATAAACCATTTGATTTAATTTTTAACGAACCTGGATAATCAGATCATCCATTCGAACTCTCATAATATTCCAAGACCACCACAAGATAACGAGTAATCGTCGAAAATAGCCAATAGGCACGATATTTAAGAATTCAATTTACTGTTTAGAATCTACGTAGTTATTTAAACTTTAAAATAGACTCACGGCATATTTTGGTTTCTCTATAAGTTTGTGTATTTATGCATAGTATACTATGAATATTTGCCCTGGCCGTTTTTCGATACACATTTATTTTATTGTTTTTATCACGCAATGTTCATGTTGTAAATCATAACGTCAGGAGACAAAAGCTGTGCCGTCTAACGATAGACCACACGCATTTATAACCATTATTTTAATTTATATGACGTATTATATTATATAGGCAACTATTTTGCACGCGTGCTAATACCGCACCTGCTAGTCAGACGTCAGTTTCGACACTGAACCTCTTGATGCTGTTGTTGTTGAGCCTGACCACGGTGGCGCAGCTGTTGAACTTTTTGGGTTGCTGCGGCGGCGGCAACGTCAGTGGCGGTTCGTCCAGCTCCGCGTCCAGCAGACAATTGTCGGCCGACTCCAAGTCCATCAGGTCCGACGTCGAGTCACCGCCCGACGGATATTTCACCATGTGTTGACCTGTGGCGGGCGCGAAACGCAAACGTTATACATAAGAGGAAAAACAACAACGACAACAAATTAGCACGAAAACATTACTGCGGTGCGCACATAACACTGCTTGCATATTATTTATGATATCATAATAAATTATATAGAAGAAGGGTAAGAGACATTTCTTTTTTTGGATTTTTATCGTCTTTGATTTCTCAAAAGATTCGAAATTCAGACGAGAGGTGTGCAAAAGTTTCAGCAAACCCCTACATAATATAATATATATATGTATATAATGCACTGCTGCAGAATAGGGTGACCCGTTTCTGTCCGATTTTGCGAACAGTTAAACTATTATTTCGTTTCCGTTTCGTGATGAGAAAAGTTTTTTTATATATATTTTCTATAGCAAACGATGTGGTCACTCGGGCATCGAATAGCATGAAACATATATACAATAATATGTATACTCGTACAAAATCATGTTCCTGAAATAATAATTACAATTTTTAAAAGTTATAGGTAAGTTATAACGTAGTAATGAAAGTTGATACAATAAATTTTTGTTTGTTGATTTTTAATTCGAACGAAGAAAATTGAATTTTTTCCCCGTGGCCTCATAGGTATCAATAGAATAACCCAAGGATTTATTGCTCTGGTCACCCTACTCTAGACTTAATTATAACCTTAAATAGCTAGTCATTGTCATATTAAAATACTGATTTGATATTCAAATTAACTTGTATTTTAAACAAAATAAAATGACTTAAAAATATAAGTTTAACCCCCCCTAAAAAACAAAAAGTCGCTACGATAAAAAAATAATTGATTTTTATTGCAAAAATGTAGAGTTACAATCATTATAATGGTACTTCAAAAAGTTCTATGTACCCAAGAATATATATATATATATATATAAAAAACAAATAAAAAATAACAAAAATTACTCGAGAAAATGTGTATAGTATATGGGTACACAAGGTGAGTTAAACGGTCTTCTATAACAATAACAACATCAATGACGACAACAACAACAATAATAATAATAATAATAATAATAATAATAATAAAAATAATGATGGTAGGTAATAAATAATAAGCAAACATACAGTGTGTGAATGTAATACATATATAATTTTTATATTATATACATACCAGTGGTCTTCAACCTTTTTTGACTATAGCTACTGATTTTGGTGATAATAATTTTTTTTTTGACCAATGTTCAGAATGTTATGTCTATATTATACCGTTTTATATTACTAGTCGTTAGTATTTATATTGCGATTAACCAACCATGATTACCACCGTTTTTTCTTTTTCTTTCAACAATGAATTTATTCAAAATACACCTAAACTACCCATCTCTGAATTTGCCGAATTAGTTTTTTTCTTGTTTATTCCTAAACGATAAGTTTTTATTATTTTGTTTTAATCCGACCACGAACTTTTTTTTTTTTCCTGTTTTAACCGACGACGCCGCGGGATCTGCTTTCGCATTGCTTCCGCGGCGCAATAATCCGACCACGAACTACAGGTGAAGACCATCACTGTACGTCTGCACTACTATAATAGGTACAACACTAGGACCATATGTAATAATATTTTTGATATATATATAGAAGCAGTGGGCATATTAATAATAATATGTTCACTTATATAATGTTATATCGTACGCGAACGTCGAGCGCGCCGTGACTCGTACGGAAGCGACGGCGCGTCGATTGACAGCTCTCGTCTCGGATACCCACCTAAAGTACCGGGAAGATAAGGGCAGCTGGTGACGTGGTTGAAGTTCTGCGATTGCATGTCTTCTTGGTCAGTCTCTCTGTGATAGAAATAGTTGAAGTTGGACACGATGACGGGCACGGGCAGTGCGATTGTGAGCACGCCGGCAATCGCGCACAGCGAACCGACAATTTTCCCCCACACGCCCACTGGTCTGAAACACATTCAAATATGTCACATGTCGACGTGTTCCGGCGAGAGTACAACAATATAATAATAATATTATGATGTATAGCGGAGGATTGCGTGGCGGTGGTATTTTTTTTTTTGGTTGTTTTTTTTTGTATAATACATTTTATCGTTTCTATTAATAATATGTATAAATATTAGAAAAAAATAACAAACAGAAAAACGAACCAAAACGTACAAAACGCAGGTGTATAACACTAAAACAAATTTCCAAAACATCTAAATCGTTACCTATACTATTATATTATAATGTATATAGGTATTACCTACGTTTTAACATGCTTTTAACGAAACACACGCATAAAATAAAATATTGTATTGTTTAATATGGTGTAATGTTTGTGTCAGTATAATTAACTGAACAGGACACGTATAAGCACAAACAAGTGAATAAAACGTTGTTGTTTAACTGGTGACCACGCTTGGATGAGTGGATTGAAATTGCGAGGGGTTAAAACCTACCCAATCTGCAGCTTCATTAATAAAAATAAAACTGTTTATTCAATGTCTGTTATTCAAAACATCGAAATAATAAATAACAAATAAATAAAATGTTCGGAAAAGTATACAGCCGCTTTCGGTTGTTAAATAAAAATGACAGGTTGATATTAAAAGATATTTTTTGAATATTATAACAGACGGTTAACAGTAGTACAACTTAAGATATTTTTTTGTAATCACGCAAAAACTGACTGAAGAAGAAAATTAGTGATTCCTGTCGGAGTACTAAATTTTTAATTTCTAGTTTGGTGGGTGATCAATATAATATAACATAATAATAATTAATAATATTATTATATAATATCTGTTTCGATGTCTCGCCAATTTCTGGATCATGTGGTAAACGGATAAATATTATTTAATCGTCGATCATAAATGCTAAGAAGTATTTATTATCAATGGTATAATATAATATGAATTGCATAATATAGGCATTAGGCACCAATCAATAAAATTCTTTGTTTTCTTTTAGAATTCACGATCATATTCTTGCAATCACAAAGCTTGTACAGTAAGTTATATTCGTACGAACAATCGAAAACGGAAAACCAAAACAACAAACGGTCATTACAATGTTGCACACGCACCGTATATGATTCATTATTTATTTTTCAAACATGATATTATTATACAGGGAGATTTTATGATCGCAGAACACTCCAGGACGTTCCTTGATTAGGCGACCGAACTCTTAGCCTCTGGATTAGGTAAGGTTCAAGCACGTAATTTCAGTTTTTTAATGGTTGGAGCCAAAATGTTTGTTTATTTATTTAGGCAGTAGATCAATTTGCAAGCAACTAAAAATAAAAATAATATTCAATACCGACTTAAATTTAGATTTATAACTCATTTAATTTTACTTTTGTTAAAGTTATGCGATGCACACTTTGTACCTAAAATCTCTCCTACACCTCCAAAATTACGCTCCTGGACTTTGATTGTTTTATTGAGGAATATTGAGTGGTCTGCGATGATAATATAATCGACCTGTGTTATATTATAAATATAAGCACGCCATGGAAATAATATATGCCTTATAAGAATTCACCACATGTGAAGCATTTACACAACCGATACATGAAAGCCAAAAACATAAACAGATATCAGGAAAATGTGGGTATAAGTGTCATCCCGTGTCCCAGGACTTGTCATAATAACAATGATAGTTTTAAAAAAAAAAAAACACACACACGCACACGCACACACCATTAGAATAGAATCCCTCTCGTGATATTTAAAAAACGATTTAAAAAACAAAATCGTCTTACAATCACACACGGTTTATATTATATATATATGTATCATATATATACGAGATTCTTATAGTATATAGATATAATGCAAACACGATGATCTCATAGTTTACACTTATCGTTATACTATTATAAGTAGTTGATAGGTATATTACTTATATAATAATAACATTTATAAAAACATGCAACAACGCTAAACATAATAATATTAACGACTACTCTACGGTACGTCAACAATACGAAGTTCAAAAGTAAAAAAAAATTCATGCACAAACGGCTACGGGAAAATGATATTGTTAGGCCAACAGACTAATTATTGTTAGTTGGTAAGTGTAATATTATATTATGTGGGTAATGAGTTTTGTCAAAACTGCAATATGCAACTACGACTCTGCACTTCGTGCTGCTGCAACTATGTTATGTATAACTTCGTATATGTAGTTATAAAAAATTGACTTATACAGCCAAGTAATGATTTATACACATGTAATATACATATATATATATATACATATAGTTTTGTCAAGGCTATGTGTGTATATGGTAACTATATTATGTGTTAGTGAACTGCTGCTGTTACATATAATCTATAAGTCTGCCTATAACAGGTGACACCTCTAATCGTCAGAAGAAAATAATAATAAAACGTAATATTGCATGAAAATGATATATAACATGGTAAATAAAATTCTCTAAACTTTTAAGTGTATTTTAATATTAAGTAATTAATTTAAAGGAACAAAAAACGAAAAACAACTGCAAAAAAACGAAATAAAAAAATAAAAAAATGATATATAAAAAAACAGACATAATAATGTATTTTTGTTTAATTTAGTAGTTATTAATAACAATATCTAAATAATAATAACATTATGTTCTCCGATCGAGCTAAACTGAGATCCTCTATCGATATTATGTGGTTCATCTAAGATGTTCTACTTGCGATCGGAGAACTGCAATCGAAACTATATTGTGGAATAATATTATAAAATGTATTTATTATATTTCACTAAATATGATGTGCGCTCAGATGATGATGATGACTTTATTATACAGATTTGGGAATCTTGGCAAACCCTAATGGAGCATACAGTGACAAGACGACTATAACTTGTAATAACAATATTGTTTAAGACGAACATAGAATTTTATTGTTCTAAAATATTCCGTATTTGATGAAATCGTCAAACAAAACAAATAATAATAATAATAACTATCTCGAGGAAACTAAATTTTAGTAAGTTTTTCTAATAAACTATAATGTATCAAACAACATATAATATAATAATACATATTATTATGTATTCATGTACTGTATACACAGGGTGCTTGGAAAGTTTTCGATTGTGTAAAAAGTTCTTGAATATTTTAGACGCCCTGTATATTATCGTACATAATTAATCGTAATCATTGTAAAAAAAAATATGTTGTAAAATATGATAAATAAACGCAAAAATGTGATGAATTTAAGTCTAAAGTATGACGTGTGTTTGCTGGTTATAAGAACATTATATATAATATTATTATAGTCGTAACTAATGATCTACGGCAGTTCGAAATTAGTGACAGCTTACACGATAATAATAATAATAATAATAATAATAATAATAATAATAATAATAATAATATGTTAATGACAAGCTAACGATGTTAAAAAAAAATAATAAATAATAATAATAAGTAAAAGATTAACGAACGAATAAAATACGTTTACGAAAAACACAATGTAATAAAAATAAGTCTAATGCGATTTTTGTTGCTGTGTTATTATTGTTATTATTATTTTTTTTCTCTGGTAATAAATCGCACTAAAATGTTAAAGAAAAAATAAAATGCAAATAACTATTAGTGAATAAAATTAAAAATATGGAAAAAAATAAATTTCAATAACTGTCTAATTTTGTCTTAATGAAATTGAGTACATCATACGTCATGTCACCATAGCCCACAGTCGTCATGGTAACAACAGCCCACCAGAATGCGTCCGGGATGGACTTGAAGAAGGAATTCTCTGAGCCGGCTTCGGCGAAGTACACCGCGCTCGAGAATAGCACCACACCTGAAATTCATTAGGACTGTGACTTATAAAAAAAAAAAAATAATAATAATAATAAATAATAATAATAATAATAATAATAATAATAATAGTAACGACGATGAAAACGATAAAATAATAATAATAACCGCATATAAAACAAAACAAAAAAAATAAATAAACAATAAGTGGATAACTCGCGATCCCGATCGATGGCGTGGACGACGACGATGGTATTATATTATGGACGTCCCCCGTCGCAATAACGAAACATTTTTCACTCAAAAATATTTATAAGACATTGTACATAATACATGACATATTATCATATAATATTATATAGGACCCCATAATCACGATGATATATTATTATATACACTCGTGAGTATTATATATAAAGTTTACTCTATATTCGATAGATATAGTGTTTTGAAACTTTTACTCGATCTTATTACTTATATCTTTCTCATCGCCCTCCCCTTCGTCTGAAAAAACTAGTCTTTTTTCATTTCCCTGTCTACTTCTATCTCTCTCTCTTCCTCTCTATATTTTTCTCTCCATCAGCCTGTCTCGTACACAATAGTATAGTTCACATAGTTATAGTTTTCTCTGAGTATTGTCGAGTACTTGTGTGTATGTGTAAGAGAGAGTGTGTGTTTCTGATAAGTCATGTGTCGATTTTTTGTACATAGGTCCATGAAGGTACGTCATAAGTCGTAAATGTCTGTCATGGCAGTCGTGGTAGTAGTGTATACATATTATTGGTATGCATTTCTATCGGTCGTGATGGTATATGGTCGGCGGGTGTTGTATTCCTGGCTGCTCGCAATTATAAGTTACCTCATGTCACCGTATCCGACTGTCGTCATGGTGACCACGGCCCACCAGAACGCGTCCGGGATGGACTTGAAAAACGACTGATCGGAACCCGCCTCGGCGAAGTACACGGTGCTCGAGAACAGCACCACTCCTGGAAAACAACACGCTCAGAGACAAATGGTCGGCGGCCCTCCCCCCATTTTTTTTTGCAACACCACAATAGTAAAATAATAATAATAATAATAATAATAATAATAATAATAATAATAATATAATAAAAAAAAAAGAAAAGAAAAACCCCGAAACTATATCGGTAGTGTATTATTATAGACATACGGTGATTGCACCACGAGAGTCCGGGCAACTTTGACCGCACCGCGCCGCGAAATCGACGACTTACCCTGCACCGCCGCAGTGTACGCCGCGTGTTTTATCCTCGGTTAAGTATTTTTTTTTTCGTCCGAATTTGTTAATTTCCGCACCGAAACCTACTCGGGAGGTGCACTAAAGTGAGAGGGTGTACGGCCCGGATCTCCAGAGACCAAATAATACTTAACGACAAGGCGTGACTTTCTCTCTCTCTCTCTCTCTCTGAAACTAAGGTGTTTCGAATCCAGGACATTCCCCTCCCATCCTATTTCAATGTAATTAATTTTATGAATAGGTAAATTGTTTTATATGAACTCTGCTTCTAAATGTTTGAATGTTGGTCGAAACAATTCAGAGATTAAATTGCGTTTCAATTGTTAAATATTCAATTGCAGGCGCAGTTTATTCTATATAAGAAAAAACTAAATACAAATATAAATTAATATACAAAAAATAGTCAGAAATCAAGAACATTTGGTTACAATTTAACCATTTATTTATCAAAAACTATGATTGGAATTTCACACTATTTTTAAAAATTTGTAATTATTTAATTCCAAAGTATAATACAACTTTCAAATACCAACATGGTTAATGTTAAATATATTTTACCAGTGTACTTATACGGAAACATTTGGAAATTTATTTCATAGATTTTTATTCAATTAAGTTTACTCGATATTAACCTTATTTTTTATATTATTGCATATAATACATTAATTTCACCATACGTAACAATAATCATCATATTTTTTAAATTTATTTAAAAAAATATCACTCTGAGGAAAATATTGTTCTTTTACCAACTGTTTTTTCTCAGACCGTCGCACAGAAACCTATTACGCAACTAGCTTAGACATCCAGTCGAATTCAACTTTTAATGATATCATAAAGTGCCTATAGAAAATATAATTATTAACAGTTATCACTGTACACTCGAAAACATATAGAGTGAAGTCGAGGGGGTTGTACTTATAATAGCCAAAACGCAGATGAGCGTCGACCGTCAAATATTATAATAGGTGTGAATACGTCGTTAAATCTAACATCAAATTGCAATATAATAACTTCGAAAATCGGTTTCAAAAATCACTACAGCGGGTAGTGTGTTTGGGTGACGGTGGGGGCGTTTATTCATACATTCAGAATTTTTTTCCATACCTCCTCTTAGCAGACATAAATATATTACATGTACTTATGTATATATTATACGCGGCTCCGGCTGTTGACGAAGAACCTGTGCGCGCAGAAAAAAGTGGGCCGTTTTTCTTCAATGAGGTTATTCACAAAAACCCCGGATGGATGACGTCATTCGATCGCTATAGTCGGAGGCGGCGCGCGCGGTATCCATGGCGACGGGGCCGTTCCGGGCGCGCGCGGCACCGACCCACCATAAACATATATTTATAATATTGTATACATGGGCAAGCCCCATCCACCTGGTTGGAAACTGTTACTATAACACAGTTTGAATGAAAATATTTTAATATTTTTGAGAAAATTTATAAAAGACAACACATGGACTACCGCGGTAGGCATTTAAATGTATAGATCCCGGACAAGTGAAATCTGAGGCAGTGTTGGTTGAATTTTCGGGAGCGCTGCAAGGATATTACGTCCATTGAAGCGCACTTTGAGGTGCTCTTGTGCCCCTCCAACGAGCTGCATCCGAAATGTTCTAGCGAGCGTTATAAAAACCATAAAGGTTTCAATATTCCAGGTAAAACTGATAGGATTTCATGTAGGTCTTAAAAATGTGTAGGGATAATTGAATGCGTTATAAAAGTATGATATTGTGCGATAGAAATGAAAACGAAACGAAATGACATTGACAACTGTACTTCGAGTTCAGAATATTACGGCATCATAGAAACATTAGAAAAAAAACATTTTTCGGGTACAATATGCTCTTCGACGACGGTCGTTTTTGCGGCACCTCCCTTTTCCATCCAAATCTCGACAACGGACAAATGGCACGTCACCGATCATGCACCGCGACCAAATATGATATATTACAGTATAATGATCGCACACGCGTTATCGCCCTCACAAGTGCAACATAGGAAGACCGGACGTGGCGATAATAATAAACGGCTGCTGGTTCCGCTCCACCGACCGGAATCGTTGGAATTGATCGGCCGTCCGTGTGGCGAATAGGGTACAAAGTTTTGTCTCTGGTCGGTCCGACGGAAAACGTGAGCGTGGAGGCTTGTCGAAACGATTCTCCGTCGATTTGTCATGATACATCCCTCCACAATTACATATACAATAATCATGGCGTAATTATTAATTTACCGAATGAATCATACTAATATTATAACACCTAATATTATCTAATATAAAAAAACAAGAAATGTGTCCGTCAAAAAACTTTTTAACGGCAAGTCTAAGCGACGTGCTTGAAATTTGCACCGTAGGTATATATTATACTGTTCTCAGTAAACCTATTCGTGTCTTATTAAAATAAAATACGTCTTTAAAAATCATATTAAAAAGAAAAATTTTAAGTATAAATGTGTTGTTTTTTTTTCAAATCGTATAAAATAATATTTTTAACTACTCTAGATATTACTGATTCGTCCTAAAAAAATCATCCTGTACGTAAATATAGGTATGTATATTGTATTTTCGGGAACCTGACCCAGCAGCATCATCATAGTTGCGTGATGACAACGATGACGACGACAGACGAGAGTGCGTTTGAGCGTAAATTGTATTTGATTGTCTATGTGTATTCGCGTGAGTTTATTTTTATTGTTGCACACTGAAAAAGTTAAAATCGATAGCGGAGAACTCCTTTTGGGACGCAGCGGGTGCTGCGGTGAACTACGACCTCGGTATACGGTCTCGCGCGATATGTTGGAAGTTTATGTGCGACGATCTGATTGGGTTGAAACAAGCGCTCTACGGGTATGGAGCGAATTTTAATCCGGCTTTTGTGTGTGTCAAAAGCTTTTTTTTGCCCGAAATTGGACAACATCTTTCTTCGCGCCCCGTTCAAAAAAGACATGACCGACTCGCATCATAGCTAGAGATTATCGAAACAAAGGCGCGCCGTGACATAAACTTTTTGTTCGCATAAAAAGCCATTTTGCAACGTGGTGTCTGTACGTCATATTATTATGTTGGTCCCCGTGACCAGCGAGCGGGGATCTCTAAGACGTTTTCGCGCGCGAACGTGTCTCGACCACGAATATTAACTCGGGTGGATGTACGTTATGTTTTCTCTCGGACTATCAATTTTCAAAAGAATTATATGACCACTCGTTCGTGTGAAAATCATAGGAGTACTATTGACAAATGACAAGTACGGAAGTCTATAATAAAGTGTGGTTATTGATCGAACGATCTTCATCCATCATACTAACTTTAAGTATAATCAGCCGCCCGTAAAACGGGTTTATAGCTGTTGGAAGACAAAAAAAATCTACGGTGAACTACAGAAATACGAAGTCTACTGAAATAAGTCTACATAGAAATTTGATCTACGTTTGTACTTAAAAAATTGTAGGTGTCTAGGTCTATATAATATTGTTGTCATACAATGAAAAACACTAGTTGTTTAATAAATAAATATTTTAATAATCTAATTCACTTATTTCATCCGCTTATACAGAGGTATGTAATTATAGTCAAAAACTGATTGACCGCCAGTTCTCACCACTGTTAACCAAGTTAGGTTAGGTGTAAATAGAGAAGATCTATTTTAGATACCTAGTAGATCTGCCTTGTATATAGAACGTGGGCAAACATTTAGTTAAGCTGCTTTCCTTAATCCTTTACCTCCTAGATGAAATCACTCTATAATAACTAATTATTGAGTTTTCGGTTCCGTTTCCGTCCAATACGCTTATACGGTTTGAAATGATTTGATTACTCAATGCCAATGTACGCGGTTGGAAATAAACTGGCGATCATACCAATGTTGAAACAGTGTCGACTTCAGTTTGATATAAATTCGTAAAATATTTTTATAGAAACTTTCTCGGATTTATTAAGCGAAATGTTTAAAAATCCAGGGTAAATTAGTAATGTAATATTTTAACGAGGTCAATCGCTATGGTGATGAAGTTATGGTTGTTCGTGGTCATTATTTAACCAGTATACGCTGCCGAAATTTAGAAATTACTAATCTGCTAGTGGCCGGGTGTGCGCGAGAGCTAATCCTAAACGTGAAAGAAAAAATAAATTCATTCGACGTGTATACCTATATATTATATATAATATACCATACAATATAATCTAATAACCGTGAAGCAAAAAAAAAATTCTAAATGTAGGGATGAGGGTGAAAGTCCCGTTAGTTTTTCCTCTCCATCTCTAGATCTGTGTCTACTAATCGGACAACGATATTATTTTATCGTATAAAAATATAAACTCTAGGTGTTGTGATGGTATTAAGTACCTAATATATGCCTCATACTTGCGAGCACTACGAGTATATTATGTTGTACATTGGACTGTACTGAGAAAAATGGTGAAAAGAATAGACATATCAGCAAAACAAAGGTCTATACATATTATTATAATATGTGCTTGGAAATGTGGGATATCGTACAAAATATAATAATATAATAATATCACGACGACGTAAGTCCTGTGGTTTTTGTGCTTGGGTCATCGTGAAAAACATGTGGGATCACCTCTCGCATATATATCATTATATTATAATATTACTCTATACAAATAGCTACGTATATTACGCATGCTTAATATTATATTATAGACAGGTATAGGGTGAATATTTTATTGTGGACCAGATGATTTCATTGAACTAGCTGTATTTTCTTTTAAACGTTAAAGATAGTATTATTTTAAATTTCTCTACGATTATCGTTTAATGTACCATGGGCTATGGTATTTATTCTCAAAATAAATATTTGAAAAATCTTCTAAGATATTTCATGGTGAACCAGGAATCATTTACCTCGTGCATAGTATTTGCAAATTACAGCACTCTAAGTACCTACTTATTAAATTTAATACATACAGTGTTTGGTAAGTACCAAGTATATCATAAAATAAGTCACTAGCGTATAGTCGCTTTATTTGGTGAGATTTTGATTTGATTAAACTTATTATACTATACAAAGAGTTTCTAATTTCAAACTATTAGTTACTAGCATAGGTTATAGGTAACTATTTAAGTATAATACAGAAACTTCATTACACCATTTTATATGATAACTAAAAACATAAGTAATATTTATTGATTTTAAGCTTTAAATTCGTATTATTTTATGACATTCCAAATAAAATATAATATTTCCAAGATTATAAAAACCGTCATTAAACTATAGAGTGTAGAAAATGTATAATTGTATTATTATACATACCTAGTATGAAACCATCTCGACTATAGTCTCTTTTCGGCTTTTTAATGATTACAATAATACTGTAGGTACTTTCGATGTACGATTACACAAATTCAGAAAAAAACAATATTATACATAGATATAACATATAGCATTATAAAGTCACCTAAAATCACTATATTAACAAATGCACACATGGTAATAGTATTAAAATACTATTTCTCGTGTAAGAATAATGTTAACTTAAATAGCAATTTGATTACTTTTTCATTTTGTAACGAGTAATTTTGTAATGACTTGTTTAACCCAACACTGTATGTATGTATGAAATACTATTAATAAACCAAAATATCACTAAAACAAAATGATTATAGTATCGAATTTATGTGCCATTTTTTACTATTTTTCATTTTGCAGAGAATTATAAAATTATGTAATTACACCTACTAGACTCAGTCACTCAAACTGATCAAGCAATAAAAAAATTGACGACTTTCACGAGAAAAATATTGATCAATAAACGATTCTCTCCACCATGCATAGCACAGGGAAACATATGCTAAATCAATCATTCTCTGGTCGCGTTTTATTTTCTCAGTGTACATATTTTTTTTTATCGCGTATTGAAATATGTCGAATACAATTTTTTTTTAACGCATACGCCCCAACAATTCTTCAGTGGCGCCTAATCCACCAGACGATTTGGTGGTCGGTCTACTGGAAATCCGAGAGACGCAATAAATCGAATATCGTAGGTTTGAACAGTACGAGGTTCGAAGTACGGGATCGGCTCACAATAAAATATAACGAGCTGCGCTGCCGAATAGTGTAGGGGATAATAATTTCGAACCACCCCGTGCTGGAATAAATAATAACGCGTAATGATCTAACTAGAATTACGGCGAAACTCTTTCAATATAAGTACTTTGTAGCTTTCGCCCCGTCCAGTAGTTGGGAAAGAGAGTGATGAAGAGAGAGGCTCGCAAAGACTATACTGGCAGAGATAATGTGCTTACAAATTAAAGGGATGGATTTTTGTCTAAATTTTTCCGAACGACGCCATATCGACGATCCATAAATGGAAGAAAGGGTCTATGAAAAACGCCTAGTGAGCTGCAGCTAATATACCTACAGTATTGAATATGCAAACGTCGAGTGTATAATAATATTATAAATGTAACTGAATACGAAAACTGCACGATGAATGTCGCGATATATGAGGTCCCGAACTAGATGAAAACTGGACACCACTGTCTGAAAGCGTCTATAAAATAATGTACAAATTAATGGAATCTCTCCACTCCGAGAAAAATATAGGTACTTGCTGCAGCTGCAGGAAGATTTCTGGCGACCGTTTAGTATTATATCATTCCTTAAAACAGAAATATTATTGATACGACAGGCAAGGTTAACGGTAGATCCGAACACACTGTTTAGCCGATAAATACGATAATAATATAACATGTTAAATGTGTTAGGAAATCATCAAAACAGGCAGTTTTAAAATACTTAATAACAAAATATGTTTAATATTATGCAGTCTTGTTTCGAATATTCGAATAAGTTCAAAGTATTATATAATTATTATACTGTATACAGGGCGGTGATGTCATCGCATATTAACAAATCCACGGGGTACGAGAGGGAGAAAGAAAATAACGTCACGTCAACAATTCCTCGCTTTTGTCGGGCCAGTGGTGGTGAGACGTGAGTGTCAGTGGGTGAGGGAGTTGCCCGGGGTCGGGAAATCTAATCGAAACCGGACTTGGGAATAACGAACGGTGAGCTCGGCGGTGGTTGCGATACACTAACCCACGGATAGGTGGATACGAAATAACGGAAAAAGAGAGACGCACGCACCCACACACACACACACACAAATCTAGTGAGTGAGAGAGAACGAAAAAAGGTTCAGCCGGGTTTACGGGGTGTGTGCGGCCCGGCGAGAGGAGGTCTCTCTCTCTCACTCTCTCTCTCTCTCTCCCTCTGTCTCTCTCTGTATATATACACAGTCTCTCCACATCCTAAGACAGGGCTCGGGTCGGCGTCAATCGATAAAATGACACGTCGGAATGTTGCGATTATTTTCATTTTATCCCGTCATCGGCATTATACATAGGTATATATTATACATGCAAACACTCTAACTGCCACTACCGCCAACAGAATTCATTCGAGCAGGACCACTCAAATTTTCTGTATTTATAAAAAACGCTCTCCGATCACAGATTTTTGTGTGCACCTACGAGGCAAGACGGTATAGTGGCGACGGATCGACGAGCACTCAAATTGAATCACTCTTTGCGGTGGACCTGCAAACCTTCCTCTGATATACTCTACGATGACCCGCATAATGTATAAGACTTGCTGCCACCGTTGCGGATAGGGTGCGAGCGAGGATAGTGGGAGTTCAGATACGGCACCGCTAAGGGCCGGTGGCACACGATGATTAACGTTCGTCATATTATTATTATATCGATGTAACCATCGTTTTCGTCGAAATCACACACACATTACTTCAAATATTCTTTCGTCTCTTCCTCGGCACGAGCGCGGTACACAGACCGAGTCCGTTTCCGCCCGGACCAAATTATATATTACATATAAGTGCGGTTTTAAATACGCCACGGTACGACGGAATTGAATGAAAATATTCCCGAAGTTGACCTCGAGAGGTATTCGTATACGATAATAAGAGCAACTACTATAATATGCGTGGTTCAGACGGAAACGGAAACGCGGACGCGGTTCGTCGTCGAAATGTCTTACCGATAAACAAGAAAAATATGAGCAATCCCAGTTCTCGCATGGAGGCTTTCAGGGTGCGCCCGAGAATTTGCAATCCCTTGGAATGTCGGGACAATTTGAATATCCTGAAAACCCTCACGAGCCGGATGACCCTAAGTATGGCCAACGACATGGCCTGGTTGGTGCTTTTGTCCTGCGGGTTCTGCGGCGCCTTGGGCAGGTTCATCGTTGGGTCCTCCTCCTCGGCAATCACCGTGGCTAATGTGATGAAGTATGGTATTATGGCGATTATGTCGATAGTGTTCATCACGTCTTTGAAGAAGTGCAACTTGTTGGGGCAGGCGAGAAAGCGGACGGACAGCTCGAACGTGAACCACACGATACAAATGGTCTCAATCAAGAAGAACGGGTCGGTGATATCGGGCACCTCATCCTCCTCGATCTTGGTACCATTGGTCGTCGTGTTGAACACCTTGTAGTGTTTGAACTCTGGCAACGTTTCCAGGCAGAATATAACGATGGACAGCAGTATGACGAACACAGATATGATGGCCACCACCCGGGCGGCTTGAGAGCTCTCCGGGTACTCGAACAGCAGCCACACCTTCCGCTGGAACTCAGGCTTTGGCAGTGGTTTCTCTTCTTCTTTTATAAAACCCTCTTCTTCCCTGAAAACGAAAATAGGTAAAGCAAAAACCGGCAGTATAGACACATTGTATTCAAATATAGTATATTATGATAAAAATAACGAGATATAACAAACCTTACCTAACTATATATTATTTTATAGTCAATACGTCAATAAACAAAACAAACACGATATCGTTAAATATTAGAAAGACATAAACTCCCTGGGTGCACATTAATCTATACGTTGTTAATTACACGTGATTCAAAAGTTTTCAAAGTGTCATATAAAAACTAAATAAACATGAATTTTTGAAACACACTGAAAAAAATAATTATTGGGATATCTAAATATTTTGAAGTAATAAATGAATAATACAAACAATTAAATGTTATCAATGGTAAGTGGAAAACGTGTAAAATTTTCGATTTCATGGTGTAAAATTAATACGTGTAACTCGTTACACAGGATTTTTTTTACATAAAATATAGAAATTATTTTCTATAAATAATAAATATATACTAATAATTGAAAGATCAATAAATTGTTATCCCGTCCAGAAATTAAATTAAAAAAAGGTCCGTTATATTAAATAACTGCCGTTGTTATTATTGATTTATGGCAAAAGGGAAGTAAAAAATAAAAAAATATTTTAGATACGTATTCGAATAAAACAAAAATTAACACATCGACGTGTGTATATCTTAAACGTCAGTCGGTAACTGTTTCAATTTTATTTCTTATACGATTTTTCATTGGCAAGCAGATGACTTATAATACAAACATATATATTACGATATTATTATATGCGGTGCTTTGCTTAAAGTGCTTTATTCTATAGCTTCAAAATAAGGTCATTGCGTCGAATAGTATTGGCTTAATGCATGTTTCATGAGTTAACTTAAGTAATATATTTGTATTCGAGAATAACGCTCCTTACAATATAGTATGATACCAGTATTATATTTATGACCTCTAATTATATGTGGTAGGTCAAAATATTCATTGCGCCAATAATTCAAAGTGTATTCTTTTAAAAATATTGAAGTAAAAAATATGACAAATATATAGCATTCAAATAGATAGATTTTTATATTCATTGTTATTTTTATTGTTTTACCGTTATTTCAGTAAGAAAAAAAATTTACTTTAGTTAAACATTTTTTTAAAAAACCTACAAAATCTGTGGGGACAGTTCCGGAACACCCTCCATGTTGGTAAAATGTAACATAAATTTATATATTATATAATAATATAAACTTGTTTTATAAGAGACGATTGAGGTGTCGAATGACATTATTTTTCTTTCATTTAGAATGGGTTTTTTCACGTGAGTGCTGATGTATAAAAAATACTCGTTTCGCCAATCGATGACGTGTTAACATCAATATTTGTTCTTAAGCGATCGCTGCACACATGTCTCAAAACTTAAACGCGCACTCTACGTACGATACGTCACTGTCGCTCGTCAACAAATATAATACGCCTCCTTCAAACACTTTAGACATTTTTTTTTTTTTTACCTGTCTGTACATAATAGATATATAGGAGAGTACTAACAAACAGACGCTCGTATAATATTGGAACAATTATTGATGGTCAATCTCTTTCTCCGCGTGACCCAACAAAACACGCGTAGGTACTAATATTGTGTATTATAACCATTTTGTTTCACGAAATCGTATTAGAGATCGACGCGTGATATAATATACAATATTGAAAAAACGCATTCTAAAAATAAATCATTATATTTATCGAATAAAATATAAAATCAGATGGGGCGAGTGAGAACAAAAAGACGAGTTGAAAAATTGTATTTTTTCCACGAATAATTCTTTTTATATTATAATATTATCCACGCATTAATGTGAAATCTGATTGTAAAACGTATGCAAAATATTACTTTCACCAATAACAACCCCACCCCTCGTTTCGATCTATAATACATACATTAAAAAGAAAACGTAATGGTTGGTTTTGTTAAGAAATAGGTAAGTTACCTCCTACTGCACGTCGCGAGTTAATCGCCGTAAAACGGTACTTGTGCATTAAGTGTATTATTTATTACGCAGCGCATATAATTTTCGGTGGCGACCATACCGAGCACACGACGACGACGTCGTAATAATATTATTGTTGTACCGTTCGCCACGGACGGAGACGACCGCGTAGCTGTTTTGCCTATCCATTGAGCCGGTGAACTGCTAAATATTATATTATTGCCTATTGGTACCTAATAACAATTTATTATTATTGGTGTCTTCACTAACAGTATAGTCTGATCTTCTGCTGTATATGTTATTGTTAAATCATCGCAATTTGAGGAAATACTTTTTTCCTGGACCCCCGACGACATTTATTTGGAAAATATAACAACTCACTCTAATGTATGATCATAATATAATATTTAAACGATTACGATGACGCGAGCGCGTTCGAGGCAGTGTGAGTCTATTTTTAGAGAAAGGAATATATATATATTGTAACGACGGCGAATTTCAGGTCGTATTGATCGTCCCGCGTCCGACCGCCGGCTGGCTAGATATATAGGCTCATCCTCTGCTGTGCGCGCTGCACCCACGTAAGCCATTTACATTGTTGCCGTTTTAACTCGTTTGCAGCCCAAAGGCAAAATCCCAACCAACCCCCACCTCCTCCCACCCATCACCAATACAAACCCTCCCCTCTACCGACCCTTAGTTGCTATTACTATGTACACACTATGCCAACGCTATTCCTGATATACTACTGTATAATAATATTATTTACTAATACATGAGCTCAATCGGAAGGTTCTCGGACAAACTCGTTTTTTTATGTTCTAACGCTTCCTTTTTTTTTGCACAGCACCAAGTATATATCGATTGACAGTGGTGGTAGCACTCGACTGATAGTAATACACACACACAATATATGATACGTATATAATATGCACTACGTAACGGTGTCCCGTGGTACCACGCCGGTCAACGGTCCAGGACTTTGGGAAATGACTACTATAATACGGAAGTCGTTACACCGGAACAGAACGCGAAAGTATTCGTGCGCGCGCACCAACGAGTGCAGGTCTTTTCATTTTGTATTCCCCCCCCCCCCACCTCCCTCTGAGCTGAGGTGCAAAATGTTGTCTCCAGCTATCCTATTGGCGTTCCATGTCAAGCACGGCTCAGATTCATATTATTAAAAATAAAAACACCAATTCATTACGCTTTTATACGTGAGTAAAATTAAAAATACCGATTTTAAATTGAAAAAACAACTTATCCGGCTGCCTGTTAATATACTTAATATGTTATATTATTATTTTTAGTTGTGATTAAGCCAAAATTTAAAATATTTCTGAAGGACTGACGCTATAATATATTATTTTATTGTCCTCAAGGGAAATTGGTAGTTTAGATGATTATATTTGAGCCCAGCACCGAACCTACGAGTATAACAATATAAAAGTTCGTACTAATTGAAAGTATTTCAACCCACATAAAAAAAGGTTCTTTCGTTTGAGTAAAAAAATCGTTCAGTATATTGACAATTTTACATATTATAATGTATTTTATAACGAAACTTCAGAGGACATTGAAAATATGAGTTTCAATGCTCATACGAGTACATCACTATAATAGAAGATCGAAAATTAGGGTACTTTAAATAAGGTTTAAGGATAAGGGTATAGTGCAGCTATGCATCTTATATTATAAAGCCACAAAATATGTAATAATAATTATGCACGTATAATACGATTATTATTTCGTAGCTCATTTATAATAATATACTATATTATAGTTCTGTGTTTTCTAATCCTAAAACGGAACTGGTTGTTTTTCTGACATTCGAATCTCACATTTGACGGGAAGTGATAGCAATATTATTTACGGTGTCGAATAATAATACGTATGCAATACTCGTATATAAATGTATATATAATATATAATGTTTAATACCAGGGCTCGTATTTAGTTGGTAAACTGAAGTAAGTCGTCAGAGTGCGAGTAATTGATGTCACGTATGAGGTCCGGAATGGAAACGTGCTCGGAAAATGTGTATATGGATGGGAGATGATTTCTTAGGGGAAAGCTCTGGTGGAGGAAAAGCGAAAGACTCGATCCTAGTTAAGTCTTCGAATTACAATCTTACGTGACCCATTTGCACACAACAGCAGAAGCAGCATATCCAATCCTATACTCACGCGCCTGTTCTAACGCATACCCCCTCACCACTACCCTCCCCCTCACCTTTCGTCGAATTTCGGGTAAACAGGGTATGTGAGGCATGGGAGGGTGGGAAAAACACACGCGTGCGCGACGAAAAACCCACCCTTATTACCACCAGCACTACCACCTCGCAAGCCCTTAAGGGTAATTGTTTCGAGAGACAGCACTATCTCCACGATAGTCGCACGTCACTTAAGTATAATATACATTTACATGTATTATACGCATATGTGTAGGTACGCCTGACGCGCTTATGGGTGGTGGACGTTATTGGCGGAGTCGACAATATCACAAGCGATGGTGTGCGTGCTGGTATGCCGAGTGACCACAGTGTAGGTACATCGCTTAATATGAGTTGGGTTTAATTTTTGGACCTGCCCAATCTTTTATGCTCTTAAGACAAAGATAACATCTGGGTCGCGTTTCATCGAAAGAACAAAATTGAAGACTGAAAATCGATAAATCAGACGTGTAAACCAAAAAAAATATTGAATAATAATTTTATCAGAAAGTCGGGAGGGAGGAAATCGCTCGAATTTTTTCGACAATTAATTCATAATCTACTCTACCATCCGATTCATCACTATTGTTTATTAATTATTGTCGTCCAATAGTTGACGCGACGTTGTTAGTACTCACTAGCGTAGTCTTACCTAAATTTATTGGTAGCCAGTTCGCCGAGCTCGTAGAACTTGATCTCCTCGGAGAACACGTCCAACGGCACCGTAGTTGGCCTCCTCAGCCGGCCACCGCTCTGGTAATAGTAGAGTATGGCGTCGAACGTCGGCCGGTTCCTGTCGAAGAAGTACTCGTTCCGCAGAGGATCGAAGTACCGCATCCTCCGACACGGGTCTCCCAGCAGCGTGTCCGGGAACTGGTTCAACGTCCGCAGCTGCGTCTCGAACCTCATACCGCTCACCTGAAACAAGATCCGAAAAACATGGACGTAAGTATAAAGTTAGTAAGCGTCAAAGTTCAGGATGATTAAAGATTATTATGCGTTTGTAAAATTTAACATATTATCTGATAAATATTATAATCCGTAGAAGTTTAGCCCGTTTATGTGGGATCAATAAACCGAGTCAAAAAACATGTTTATATTTTATCTTTTAAAGTTTTAATGTATTTTTACAACTGGTCGACAATTTGTTTTTCATCGAATTTACAAGTATACTAATTTCAGCAGTTATTTAAATACCAAACCAATTTTCCATGTATTATCTGATTAGAGAAACATTTATTTTTATTTTACTTTAGAGTAGCGACTCTATGAGACAAAAAACATGCATTGTTAGGACAAAATTTATTAAACGATAGGTATTTGATTTTTGAACTAAAATATCCACTAGCAGGGTTTCCCGTAAAACTTTCGTACAACGAAACATCGTACCTAACTTCCTATACTCACAAAAAAAAAATGACACAAATTGTAACAAAAACTTTGTTGTATTACTCCACCCACGATTTGAAAATGTTGATAGTTTAAGAAAAAAAAAAAAACAATGAATTTTGCCGTAACTCAAACTTTAATAATATACTATGTATATTCATATTTTATGAGTTAAATTAATTTTTTTATTCGCTCATCAACATAATTTTCCAAAAATGTGTAGCGATGAGCAAAATAAATTTGTATGAACGAGTGTGGATCGGCGCAGTGATAGTATAGCCTGTAAAGAAAAGGTACCTTGGAACAACATTAAATATGTTTTGAACATGGCGTGTCCACATAACCACCACGATTGAAGTGTTGAAGCAGAAAAATAGACTAGCTCGGAGTTCTCGTGTGCACTAGAAGCAAGAAGCATGTACCTACATTATTTTTTAGTAAAAAGTACAGTGGATGGATAAACTCTACATTTATTAATAAAATAAAAGAAGTTATTAGGTACATTATCACCGCATCCGAGCGTAAATCTATATTCATTATCTTCAAGCTCTAACATTGTTTCATTTGCATGTTTATTTTTAATTGTTAGATTTATTACCATGTGAACTATAAATTTGGCTTAACTAATGAAATAAAAAAAGATATAGTACATATTTAGAGGTTTTATGATTTTAAGGGCATGTTTTCTGATTTTACAATATTTCAGACTAATAATAATATGATTCAAAACTTCACGAATTCAATTTATATAAAGACTGCATTGATTTGAGATTTTATGGTGTATTGTGGTTATAACATGAAATCCCGATCATCATAGCATCACTAATATTTATTTTATAAAACAATGCCTGTTAATTGATTAACTTGTTTTCTTTAACCTTTATGATGTTAATCGTAGACAATTCTATTAAGAGTTTTAATATTATTTCACAACCACTTGAATTGTCTTCATCTAACAAATTTCACATTTTACGTTCACAATACATTGTAATACATTTATTGTTTTTTAAATAAGAGTGACTTATTATGATTTTTAAAGGTAAGATAATTATCTAGGGCATATTGGAGGTTTTAATTGACATTTCAAGCAAGTTATGATTGTTTAAATATTTACAAAACATGTACACTTTTTAAATGACCATAACATAGTTTCGTAATTAAAATACCAATAAAAATATCCGATAGTTCTTATGCCCTGGAGCTTATCAATGTCAATTAATAGATTGTAATACGTTTGTTAGATATAGTCTTATTGACAACATATGTGGGTGTGTCGTCCTCTTAACATTTTATTAAATTCAAAATTAACTTCCTGCAGCTATCTTCATGTAAAAACAGATAGAAATAAAACTAAAATGAATAACTACTCGATGAACAACAGTATAATGTATATTCGGTATATTTGAATAGCATTAAAACGTTTAAGGCCCAATTTTTATTATGATATAATTTAATATCCTTCAGTAATAATAAAATAGAACCAGAACTCTAATACAAATAGTGCACTAGAACGACTGATGTGGTATTATACATTATTATAATATTGTACGTACGAGGATTTAAGTATATAGGGACGTTAATTGGTTTTAAAAAATATATTATACCTCTAACGTCTCTCGCGTAAGAACTTAACTGTGCAAATATATTACGGTAGGTACCTATATAGTGGTAGTGGTGGTGATGGTGGTAGAAGTGCTATGTAGAGAAGCAGGTAGGTGTAGGTACAGTGCTTCGAACGAGAAATAAGAGTATTTTATTATCTCTCGCCAAAACAACAAACGCATTACAAACGCAAGGCCGTGTGATTAATTTTGAAAACGACTGCCGTTTCGCCGGCGCGTATCGTAAAACCACGCACAAACACATACTTATACAACATAATATATTATAATAGCGTTTATTTTGGGTCGAGTTTGATAACCACTAAGTACGTGAAGAATTATGTGCGCATTTTACGTGCCGGATTCCAGCTGTATGACATGTTATTATTACAACATATTATCGTAACGCGAGCCAATCAACCTTCGTTACGTGCGTGCGCCTCGTTGTTGTCGAGAGCAATAATATTTTAATATATCATGATTGTTTCAAAGCTAATAATCATCGATAGAAACTATATAGAGCACCATGGTGAGAAATGATGATTATATTATTACTATACTATCATCATCATTATTATTATTATTATTATTATTATTGTTATTGTTTTTATCTTAGATATTATATTATTGCGTGCATAGGTAAGTCGTATATCATTGTAGATCGATATCAAATATACGCGGCATACAAACGATAATATAATAATAATAATAATATGATAATAATATTATACCTATTTTGTTCTTAAAACTCGCAAACCCGTCATTAATGCACCTTTACTATTGCATGTATGTAATATTGGTACCTTGGTTTATACTCTGCAGTCATGCATGTGATTAAGCAAAGGTGTGCTTTTGTATTCATACATGGTACCTATTGTACATTTGCTCATCGTATACTATTTTTGTAGTGATTTACTGCAGCTACAGTTTCCGTACAAATATGATAAACGAAACGAAAACATTATTCAACGCTCGCGAAGAAGACTTTTTTATTTTTATTATACTTATTATTATAGAGAATTTATTTTTCACTGTACGTTCCGTGAAACTTAATAGCAAAACGGAAAATTAAACTCCAGGGACAAATTTTAATAACACTTTGGAGGGGAACCCGCCCAAGATCTTGTTCGAATATATAATTGAAAATAAATTAAACTTCTTATATTAAATCTTAAACATATAAAAAGATCGAGTATGATTATTATTTTTCGTAGCCGTTTTTCTCATTTTTATTAAGCTTATTATGGGTTAAGGGAAAATATATCATATTATATTATAATAGTATTGTTACATATGAATAACGATGGTCATAAATAAAATAAATAGTTGCATTTACATTTTTTTTTTTTATTTCGTTGATTTCGATTTTAATGTTTTAATTGTATAAATAAATTTATTGTACGGTTAAAAAACATTATATTATGCCAGTTATATTTTTTGAAAAAAAATATTGATAAAACGATTAAATGAGAAAAATACCTAATAAATATCGAAATACTTGCCAAATAAAAATGCAATTGGTAATTTATTACTTTTTTAATATAATGGAGATGACATATTCTGTCGATATTAACTCCTGTTACCCAATCATAGTTTATTATGACATTTTGAATATTTTAAAAACTTTTTTATTTTACAAAATAGTTGAATTATTAAGACTATTGCACACTATAAAATTAGAATTACCTATATCCAAATTCGATTCTAAGCATAATTTATTTCTTCTGGTTTATTATATGTTACTACTTATTAGAATTATAAGAATATGATAACAACTACTATAAAACACTTTAAAAACAATATGTATATAAAAGTATGAGAATTATTTTATAATTTGCACAATAATAATATATGTAATCTATAATATCGTGTATAATATACTATTATTTATATATATTTTTTGGTATTATATTACTCATTATTGTGTAGTATCAATGATAGTTAATGGACTCACAACTGTCAATCATAACATACGCCATAGCGAATACTATAATGTGATTAATGATTATACAGTATGAATGTATGGTACTACAATAATATTGTTCTGATAGCTAAATATTTTAAACTAATAAAGTAACATTATATTGCATTTTTGGATCGATTTCGTGGTTATTGTTTTAGAAACCAAAAATTAACTGTCAAAAAAATATATTTAAATATGCAATATATGCATACTATTAAAATATCAACTATTCTAATAGGTGTCACGGTGTATTATTTACGTGCAATACATCAAGTTCTGGTGTTAGTTAATCCAATTCAACTGGTCAGGTCTACAGGTTTCAAAACCGGTACTCGACAGAAGAATTGCGGTCATATTATACTCCCGACGTTAATTAATAAGCGTGTTATACAATATTTTAGTGATTACGCGAACGTTATACTCGAGGGTGGGTAATTCGTCACACGAAAGGATGACGCGCATTATAAACCATTAGAGAATCATTAATTTGGACCCACCACAGCCGTCTAAAATAATAAATAACGTACATGGCTATATATATATGTATATACTATATATGACACCCGGTGTTCTACACGGAGTGTCCTCTTCTGCACTCCCCCTCCCCACAAAAAAAACCAAAAGACCATTTTTATTCTTCTCGCCCGCCATCCCTCTTCGTTGAGATTATTCTGCTAAAGGACTTTATAATATTTTATGTAATATATAACGATAATGTCATCGTGAAAATAGTAGACATCTACATAGTAAAAATCGTCTGCAGGCGGTGCAGATCGTCACAGTTTGTTCATGGCTTCATGCCGCATTCGTTGCAAGAGACAATCATACCGATATTATTTTTGTATGGAATTTGTACGAGAAATGATTACATTTATTTTAAATGTTTTTGAAAACGTACTCTGTATTTATATATTACCTAGGCATACTTGAAATAAAATAAATGAAAAGGAATGCATGAAGGACAA